ATTAGGACCGCTAGGCACCCCAGGGTATCTCGTAAGTTGAACCAGCATCTAAAGCTTTGCACCCAGGGGGTTAAACTCTATGTTATTGACTGTCCCTTTGAATTACACTGCCTTTATGAAGCACTGCATCAATAATGAACACGTTTATAGGCACTTTTTTTCCAAATAAAAGATTCTTCTTTGTTCTTTCTGAATATTGTTGCTGTTCTAAAAAAAACAATTTTTTTACACCATGCCCTTATATTGATGAGAGGGCCAACAGTAATTCTGAACAACAAACCTTTCCAGTGTAATTTATTCATCTATAATAGGATGAAAGGGTAAGATGTTTTACAACTGATGATTTTGCACAATAATATAAACATGTGCATTTAATCTAGTGAATACTTAAGCATTTCATTGATTATCAGAATTTACAAGTACATTTGTGTTGCTGGACTTCCTTGCCAGAATGCAGCTGGATGGAAAAAAAGAGTTGTCCTTTCATGAGAACAGCCATTGACCCTGTTCACATGCACGTGTGCCATTATTCTACGAAAGGCTGTGTGTATAAACGCAGCTATTTGGAGCTTGAAGCACTTGCGTCGTGGACTTCTTTGAAATGCTAGATGAGGCTTGAGGCCAGGCGGCCACCTGTGTGACTTGGGTGCGGCTGAGGAGGGCCAGTAGAGGAAGTGTGAAAGGATGCAAGGCAGCCATTCACGCAGCCACGTCTACCAGTTAGCTTGCGGACTCCCAGTTGCCAAACCCCCTGGTTGGCTTGGCCTCTACACTGGGCACAAGTGCACTTCCCAACCCATTCATGCACCACAGAGCCACCAGCTATCTGACTGGCCAAAGAGGCCATTCTATTCCTTCCGATAAAAAGGGGTTCTCAATAGACAGAGGTCAATTCATTGGGAGAGAGAGAGGGAGGTTCATTTAATGGAGAGAGTGATGCTGTTCTTGCAGATGGCCCTAGCAGGACAGAAGTCAACCTTTCTTCTTCACTTAGCCCGTCATCAATCAGGCCTTTCTGCTCCTTCATCCTCATCCTTCCGCTGTACTGGCTTTTGTGTGCACTTGCTATGAGCCATCACTTGTGAAGAGATAGCAGGGGAATGAAAAATGAGGAAGGGCGGGGTTATAAGGAAGGAATGCTATTAGAGCAAAGAGGAGTGTGCTTATGAAATCTGTAAGAGGACAAGGGTAGATGTGCCTTGCCTGACTTTGGCACTTGGCATTAACATCTGCTGACCCTTCAAGGCGCAGTGCGTTTACACTTGCCCTTTTCAAATCTAGCCTCTGTATCCAGATACTAATCTCATCTCTGGATCTGCACAGTATTTCAGTTTCTAAATCTGGCTAGTATGGTGCCTGTGAAAGGTAGGCACATGCTATGTTTGCTTTTTGAAACATGCCATTGTGGTGGAGAGTGTTTTTGTCATCCAACAGAGAAGGGAAAGTTGGCGAGTTATACATGTTTGCTTAGCAGCCACAACTGAAGCACATAAACTCGAAAGAAATGAAATGAATTGTAGCCAGATGTGGTGTAAGAACTGTGTACTGTCCTTCATAAGCGACAAATGGCTGTTCGTGTTTGTAATCCTCCTTTTGAATGCATAGGCTGACTTCTCTGAATGAGTGAGATGAATGAGAGAGGCGGGAATAATATTGAAAGCTGTGGGTGGAGCTCACGTGACCTTTGAATGTAAACAAGCTGCTATCATTGCATTTAGTTTACACAGATCGGATCAGAATGCAAACCGGGTCCAAAGACCTAGATCTGAAAATATTCTGATTATAAATGCAGCTACACATGTCTTTTAAATGTGTATGCTGGCAATATCGAGATACACATTTTAATCCTAAGTTTGCATAGGGCCCAGGTAACACTATTTTTGATATCTACTTGGATTCTATACGCCTACATCCACATTCAGTCCAGCAAACAGAGGACACTGACTCATAGAAAACAAACTCTCTTCAGGACAAATTCCACCACAGGTCACATTTGTTCCTTGCCACGTCCAGGACGCTACTGCATTCTACACAGAGTGTGCCGAGTGACACATTTGACATTGCTTGGCTAACCAGCTGTAACCACAAACTTATCACTTAATATGCTCTGTTGTGTGTGGGTTTGGAGTCATTAACCCATTTCACAAGGCATTCTTTTGTGATGAAGCAGCGAATTAACTGCCTGCGGTTCAAGGTCTGCCCAACCCTGCATTCAAGGCACAGGCATGTGACTCACATTCGATTGCGGGAGTGATAAGCCACAAGGGCGGGTGTCTCCAGCCTCTCCCAGGGCTTCACCCGGCCTCCTGAGACGCTGCTTTATTTACACATTCCTCCTTCAGTGGAAATACGGCCCATCTACAACACCAGCCAAAACTGACTGTAGGCCATGAGATCCGAGCTGGTGTTAGTTCTGCTGGAGGAACCCTGAATCAGCTTAAATCTTGCATCTGCTGGTTCAGAATCTTAACAATAACCTGATATGAAAGCAATGGATCAGGCAATGCTAATCTTGCTAATAATGAATGAAAACAAAAATAACTATGATAATTGGTGGGTACTGGCTTATATCTGTTGTCAGCAACGTTAGCATGTATGGTTGAGCTATTCCTTTAAAAAGAGAGAGGTATGGGCACTCTTTTTGTTATAAACAGCTCCAGAGCATTCTGTTGCAATAGCGAAGTTGTATGTATGATGAGTCACATTAAAGGTGCAAGCATAGATATTGTCCCTTAGGCACAGCGCAAAACATTTTCTCAATGTAAGGATGGGCTGACATGTCCAGACTGATAGTAGCTGCCTGTAAGAACTATGGGTGGGATAATTTGGCTGCACACTGTACCTACCTCTGTACATGCAAGAAGATAGCATCATAGCAGACAAAGCATATCACCACCTGTATATTCTGCTGTTCTTTATCACCACAAAGATTTCATCTGTAATAAAACAATGTAGACGACATAAACTAATGGCAGCTAGACCAAACAATCTGTCATATACAGTATAGGGGTGACTACAAATGCTTGCCAGACACACTGGACTTTCGGATGGCTTTTAGATGAATAGGCTGAGTAGTAACTCCTTTATAATGGCAGGTTAAAGTGGTGTCAACCTTGTTTGCAAAAGAGAACTACTCATCATATCATCCCTCAAGGACACACGAACTGCCTGATGATTCACCTTTTTCTGCCCGGCTCCATTCAAACAACACTCTGTCTTTTATTTTTCTTATCTCGCCCGATCAATACTTCCAAGTGCATCGCTGCACAGCATGAGCCCGCAGCAAAATTAGGCTACACTGTATAGATGTGGGTGTGAGAGCAGTCACTTCAAGCTGTAAGCAAGAATGTGAGGCAGAGAAGAGACGTGGACGAGTTACAAAACGCATGGAAAAAAGCACCGATGCCAGGTTTTTCATGCAAACGTAACTTCTTTAAGCCACAAAGATAGACTGCAAGACTGGAGTCAAGTTGGCTGCATGCAGTCATAGGGCCTGCTTACCTTGTAAAGCAGACAGGAAGGAGGAAAAAACATGCCCCAATCATTTGAATATGTGGGAACACCAAGATAAGACTATAGCACAGCTATAATCAGATAAAGCGCATCTATTTATAATGGGACTTAACTGGGGAAGGGGGGGCTGTGTATTTTCTGTATCTGTTGATAAAACACAGTAATCTGCTTAATTTCTACAGATAAATATACAGTCATATGTTGCTTAATATCCACCGGCTAAGCTGTATGATCACCACAATATGGTAGTACTGGAAGGCAATCATATACATGAACTGGAGATGGTGCAATGGTAGTTTTTCTTTCCTGATACCAATATCAACATTTGAAAATTTAGTGTTGGGTGATATCAGTATGGATGATATATACTTTAAGTGCCATCTTAACTTTAAACGTCATATATAGATTATATATAATACTGTATATGCACTGTTGGAAAATGACAGCGTATGTGAACTTAACACTCCGTAGTATGGAACTACTCAAAGGTAACAGTATATATAACTCCACAGAATGGAACTATTGGACAATAACATTATAATGAGTCCATAGTATGGAATTACTGGAAGGCAATAGTATATATGAACATATGAACCCCACATTGTGGAACTGTTGGAAGATAATAGCGTATATAAACACAGTGTGATATGATCCAATGGTAATGTGGAAAAATTCTATGGGTGCCACATATGGAGCAGAAGTGCACGCCTCAATGCACGGACGTCACTCCAGTGAGCAAAGCACAAATGAGTTGTGAGCGAAAGCTCCGCCAGTCTTTCAGCACTGTGGTGCCCTGATTCCAATAAAGGAATCCCTCACTAATCCTCCATGTGAGACAGCTCCGCTCTCTAAACCTGATCCACTGCCCCTCCTCAAACCCAAAGAACTGCCTCAGGGCAAAATGACAGACAGGGCCAGTGCTGAGGGTCTCCACTGCCTGAACACACACACACTGTACAGAGGTCCCACAGATTCAAGCAGGCAAACAAAAGTATGGGTAAAAGGCGAAAGTCCATCTACGCAAAGCCAACATTAGCTTTTCTACCTGGTTATTTCTACCAGTTGGTGTCTTTTCTAACAGATGTACACAAATGCCAAAAAAATTAATCATGTTTTGACCCCCACCTCACTACACAAACACACCTAATTCCTGCTGTATCTCCCTATTTATTACCACTATATATTCATAGAAAGAGGCATTAACCATCCCTTCAAGGTCCTAAACCCCTGTCTGGTATCTTAACCACTACTGTGCAAAAAATATGCCAACTCAGAGGCGACTGACTGGCTGAGCTCGTAATGATGTATAGCCTAAATATGAACTGTTCTGTGTCTAATGGCAACAATGCTTTATCAGGATAAGGCCAAACGCTGGTGTTGTCACTGAGGTGAAATCACTGTAGGTGACCGTTTCTCCACCCCCCGTGTTGTCGGGCTGTCTAAAAGACATGTGTGTCTATTGCCACATGGGCTGTGCAGTGTTTTACCTGAGGAATTCTTGTAGACATGTGTCACAGAACCTGTGTCCACATGTGGAAACTTGGACGGGTTCCCTCATCGCCTTGCTGCACAGAGGACACTGAAAGCGTCTCTTGGGTTTCTCCAGGAACTTATAATCGTACCCCGGCATCGCTGCTGCTGCTGCTGCTTCTGAGACAAAGGCTCAGACTGGTCGCAGAAGGCTGTCTCTCAGTCCTCGGCAGTGTCGCCGTCTGCAGAAAAAAGGGACACGACCGTCTCTCCTACAACGGCTCAAGTCCAAACAAGCGTCCCCCTTATCTCTCCTTTCCTCCTCAGAACCCTATCGCTCCTCTGTCACTACCGTCGCTGTAGCAACAAGACTCGCGCCTGCCTGAAGGAGAGCAGCGGCGGCTCCGCGAGCCCTCCGTCCGCCGCTCTGACAGCGCTCTCCGCCGGGGGAGGAACGGCCCTGGGTGGTCGACAAGGTTGGAAAAGGCGAGCTGGAGGAAACACAACCCCAGTGCGGCTTCTCCTCAACACTGACAGCCTGTAGACAAAGCTCGAGAGCCCATCTGTTTAGGTACAATGTTTAACCCCGCCCACCGAGCGAGTGGGAGGGGCCACATTTACATCACTCCCTTTCTCCCCAGGGAAATTATTCTGGGGCTTTTTTCCCTTTCATCTCTTTTCTCACGTGTCTGATTGTTATATGGCCTATGAGTTTATATTATTATGTGCACACCATTTATAATAGGAATACCTTTATCATATTTATGAGAAAACTGAAAGGAAAAAGCCTGAAAACAATACTGAGGAGTTCCATTCAAAAATGCTGAATTTCCATTTGTAACAAGGAGAGGTTGGAAAAGAAAATAGCTGGTGTTGTCCAGTTAATCTTATTACATTAGCCATAATATAGCACTGATATTTCTTGTATGTGTTAAGCTCACTCACAACCACGTATATCATGAAAATGTACACATATTCATGTTTTTTTACATACTATATTGTATTTGTGGCTTTCCAGCCTGTTTTAATCCAAAAACTTGTTTTTAACAATATTGTATGACTGCAGAACTGCCTTATTATCGACCACTTTACAACTGTTCAAACATCAGCTTCATTATTTCATTACGTTCGTACAGAGAGTCTATGTTCCAGTATGTGATCTTAAATCTGCAGATCCTCCTTCCGCAAAAACCTTCCATAAAATACAGAAAACGTAGGGACTCTTATTATGCTACTGAACTGTGGAACTCAATTCCACCTTTTATTAGACAGTCAAGCTCAGTGCAGACTTTTAAGCAACATTTGAACACTTTGCGTTGAATTCAACTTCTACGTCTCTTTGGTATTCATCTTTTTAATCTGATCAGTGTCTTAGATGATTTTAAATCAACGAAAGAGTAATACACTGTAAAACTGTATCACTTCACAGCTGTCTGTAAACTCCAGCTTTATCATTAGAAAGTGCTGAGCTTAACAAAAGTGAGAGATGTTTTTGTGGGGAAAGGCCTCCCTCTATCGGTAAGATTAGCCCTTTTCCCCCCAAAACAGACCACAGACGAGCTCGTCCATATAACGCTGCAGGAGAAGAAAACGCCAGCCGTTAGCATTAGCCCAGCGCGCGCTAACATAAAACATTAGCGAATTTGTAATAATCGACACTGTAATGTTAATCGAAGTGGTTTGACATCGTCCTTTTCCAGGAACTTCCATAATAAGGCTGAGGAAGAAATCACGTGCTCGCAGAGCAACAACCAACACAGTCCCATATTGCTCCTGAATTACATCATCACATGACGGAATGTAGCGCCTTTACAGGATGGCAAACAGACAGACTGAATATGCAGGAAATGGGTAACTCATTTATATTTGTTTATTTATTTATACATTTTCAAACTCTGGATAAGCCTTTTGGCAAAATACAGATACTTAAAAAATAAAAACACTGATAATAATCTCCACCTTGGGAATCATGCTGTTACATTTAAATAGAAATGATTTATCACTGGTCATGGACAAAATCCAAACACACTCTCCCACTGAGGAGCTGGGTAGTGCTGTAGGTCTTTGGTGGCCAGCTGTGCTCTGTAGTAGCTTCTGACATGCATTGTTTTCTGTCTCAGCATAAAGCCACAGAACCTGTATAACTTCCTGGGAGTGTGTCATATAATGACTTTGTGGTCTGAAAACAAACACTCAGACAAAAGGTGTCTCCTTCGAGTTAATGCAAGAGCCAAGACCTCATGTCATGTTTTAACCCTCTACATGATTTGTTCACCCCCTCACTGTTCGCTAATGGTAGCATAACATTACTCAGGCACTTCATTCACAAAAAAAGGCATCACCTAAGGCTTTACAAACCAGAGATACTATTAACTATTGCACTTTCCAATAATTGTTATAATGCTTTGAAATACTGCAAAGTCTTCGATGTCTTCACTGCACCACATCTTCATTAACTTTTCCAAATGACGTTGTGTTTAAATTCTGCAGCCGTCGTTGAGATGGACAGATCACTTTGAGATGGGGTCTTCAAAAAAAGCTGTAAAAGGGAGCAAAGTTATCATCAGAGTAACACTATACAAACTTATTTCACAAAAATGCATTCTTATATTTCCTGTTAAGCAAAACAGTGGCACAAGGTTAAGCCATATGTATATGAATTGGTAATACAGTACGAAATCTTAAAGTGAGGTGTCATAAAAACAAAACGAAAAACAAAGAAACTGGGTTAAAAGCCCTTATTATCAGCACAGTAAGTCAGAAACCTATACATGACAGGGCAAATGCTGTTGTTCATTGTACTGAGCGGAACAAAGCTTAGTGAACTGCCTCATCTGAAGTTAATTGAGAAGTGAGAAGCCCCTGGCTACCGAGGCATAGAGACATAGACAAAGTATGAGCATTGTGTTAAGAGCTGAGCAGGGCAGACACAAAAGCCTTTCACACCAGCATCAGTGACCATCTACATTTCAGGCCCTGGAGCACAGATTTAAACATAATGTTGAAAACAGTAATGAACTGAATTTACCCAAATGTGTACATTATTTCCACATGAATAAAACAGATTTACATACACATCATCACAGTTTTACCTTTCAGTTTACCTACTTTTAGCAAGAGTTGTGTTGAGGAACTACACTTTGTTAATGTGGAAATGACGTAAACAAGTAAATTCAATTCATTTTTTTTTTCAGTGCAAGAAAAAAAATACGTTATGACGTATTTTGTGAATATGTGCCAACGTTACTAGTAGGTCTGGGTGATTCCAGAGCCTTCTCATGGAACAGGCAAAAGACAGATTAGGCTACATTACGTTTCACAGCCAAGAGTGTGTTGCCATGGCAACAAGCCACTGATGTAACCGTGAATGGGTGGCTCTCATCAAGCTGCACTGCCTTCGGTATCCCAGAATCCTCCTCTTTCCTCCCGAGGCGGCCACGGGCTCCTTTCCCCCAGGTGTACACCTCGCCCTCTAAAGGACGAGAGAACACGTCATTTACTCAAACTGCAGTTACACTGTTGACCTTCATTTAGATGAATTTACATATTCTAAGAAGAGTATAAGCCAAGCAAACACGGATGAGCCTTCAGGCACATGCTGATCTTTAACCATGTAACATAAATAAACCTCTTCAAGTCCCTAAACAGCCCCTCTTAATGGGCTTAATATACTGGAGCATTAAGCACATCCTTATATAACTGACTCCAGTGCTGAAACAGAATTTATAACAATTATAACAAGCTAAGCAATGATGGCCACAATATTGAACCATAGATGTGATACTGATTTCACATTTTATTCTGGCCTCAATTTAGACTTTGCCAATGGTCCAAAAAAAATTAGAATTGACAAAATAGACACACATGTAGCTTACATGGTATCAATGTCTTTTAAGGATATTACATCACAACACATGAAACAAAATATGTTTTACACATAGCATCTGCTACAACATGCCTTTGAGAATGCTTTGATTTCAGATGTACCTGCTCCAATAGCCAGAGTGAAGGCATCTCCGCACGCTACCATGGTGACGCCCTGCAGCCCTGGCACTGGGTAGGGCACTCTGCTGCTGCGGCGAGAGCTGCAGCCAAGCTGCCCGTGCTGGTTACTGCCAAAGGTGAAGCACTGACCTTTCTCTGTGTTTACAAGATAAAGAAGACAGTTTGCTTTTTAACATCAGTGTGATTACATTTACTCTTTTCCAAACGGCTGTTAAAAGCATACATTGAAACTGACCAGAGTTTCTGACCAGAGGTGGTTTTAGAACCTAAAGTTGGTTTCAACACTTGGAAGTCCCAGTGTGCATGAATTTTAGCGATCTGGTGGTAAGTGTAGGTGAGGCAGCTCACATTACCGTTCTACTGAAAAATGGTTAAGCTTAGGGGTTGTTTTAAGTTAGTTCACCGGCCATGTTTTCTAAAGTTGTTCCTTCAAAACAAAACAGTTAGGGTTAGGGTTACAGGTAAGGTTTGTTAGATAACAAACACAGAACCTTTTAAGTTACCCAACGTTACGCAACTGCACCACAAAAAATGATGTCTTGGCAAGTAAAATAAGGCAATATATATAATATTTCTCATTTAAGATTTTTGTCAATAATTTGCATCTGGAAGCAAAATCAGCACAAGAACTGTATGTCAGGAGCTTCATGAAATGGGTTTTCATGGCTGAGGAGCTAATATCACTATGCGCAAAGCCAAGCGTCGGCTAGAGTGGCGTAAAGAGACACTGGACTCCGGAGCAGTGGAAACGTATTCTCTGGAGTCATTAATCATGCTTTACTATCTGGCAGTGTAATGGACAAATCTGGGTTCGGCGGAAGCCGGGAGAACACTACTTACCGGAATTCTACAATGTACAAAGATATTTTAGACAATGATATCTATCCAACTTTGTAACTTTATGTCAACAGTTAAGGGAAGGCCTTTTCCTGTTCCAGCGTTACTGTGCCCAGTGCACAATGCAGGGTCCATAAAGACAAAGACAAAGAAACCAGGTGCCTACAATGCAAATATACCCATTTTATTTAGAATGACCAATGAACCTGTGTCTGCTTTTTTAAATCTAATGTTGATAATGTTACAATATCAGTAAATCTGAAAAAATGCAGGTAGCACGTACCTCTCCACCCTATATATACTTAAAATTATGTTTTGGGTCAATTATTTAATGTAAAAGGGTCATAAAACAATGTCTCAGGCATCAGGAAGCATTTTATGCAACAGTAGCCTGTTAGATAGTCTTTAGAGGCACTAAATGCTTCAGACATCAGGTTCCTAGCACTACTATTGTGAACAATTCTGACTTGGTAATGTCCTCTAGAACAGAGCATTTCACATCAAACCACTCTGAATGACTTTGTTTACATCTCAGTCAGTGACTTGTGCAGAAATTCTAAAATTCTAAAACATATCCTCTTTAATTTAATAAAAAGAAAACATGCTCTTCCGTATGAATAATATTTCAAACAACTTAATGTGTCCCCAAAGGTTTCAAAAGGATTGTACACTTCACCTTGCTCAACTCTGATCGCCATGCATTAAGATGCAAAAATCAATAGATAGAATGATTCCTCATCTCACCCGTCACTGCGGCAGAGTGGGCCGTTCCGATATCAATGTATACGATCTTCTCTACATTTAGTGGAGCTGACTGGACAGACTGGAAAATGTGGACCTCCTCCACCTGATAACAAGAGGGCGGCTCCTCTGTATCGCTGATCTTATCCAGTCCAAGTTTGTTAAACCTGTTAAAGATGCACATCACAGTCCTTTTCAGTGTGAAAATTAGTTGAGGGGTGTGGCTGAGATGTAAATTTAAACTGGATATGTGGATTTTGGTCAAGCACAAACCAACGGACACAACTAAAAATTAAGAATTTTTGATGTATTCATGTGACAATATAGAATTCTGTCTCCAATGTCCATCACTCTGTCTGTGTGTCTTACGTCTATAAAGTAGGATGTGGTTAAACTCTGGAATCTGGACAGTACAGGGCAAGGTCATTTCCTGTGATGAAACTTCTTTTGATCCTTTTCACAGTGGTGAGGCAGGCATGACAGGAATCAACATTCAGAACTGGTTAGTCAATGCAAGGAAATGCTGCTGGACAGGATATGGGTCAGGAGTTTAAAGTCATGCACTGCACAAAGCAAGACAAAGGTTTTAGTTGTTTTAGATGCTTTTAAAAGTTCTGAACAGCTGTCTTTTGTTAGTACACTTAAGGCTAATTAAAACGTTTCCCAGTGAAATCCAAGTGCTCAGCACTTCCTCTTACATAGCAGGCCATTCTACTAATAAAATGAGGTTAAACGTCTGGCAACTGACCTACTGTGCTGTGCAAATATTTCAGGCCCTTTACTTATAAAAACACAATATAAGATCAGAAGAAATATAAATATACATTAATACAGTAAATAGTATCAAGGTTTTCTTGTTTTCAAGAAAGTAATTGCTATGTTGTGAGCTGGTTAGAAGAACAGGTTTGGTTCCTCTTCTCCTCAGTGTGGCTCCAACCACTGAATGGATTTGTTTAATTCTACCACCAGCACACCTGATATCATTTTAAGTACTTATTAGCTGAACCAGGTTTTAGAAATACTTGTACAAATACTGGAATGACTTGAGGAGAGGTTCAGAAATGGCAAAGCTAAAGCAGAAAATTACAATATATTGTATTAATGTGTATTTGTACTTCTTAGTGTTTTTCCATTGCCCAAAGCCTATAAGGGGAACGCCACCGATTTTTCAAAATCACTGCACAGTTCAGTGTTTGAGATGTAAACAAAGCCATTCAGAGAGGTTTGTGAAATGCTCCATTCTAGACTAACATACCAGCTCAGATTTCTTTACTGTGGTGATGTAACCATTTTACTTACTATAAATGACCGGTGAATCTACACGTCTACTGAATTTTTTATATGTAATGTTGATGATGATAAAATAGTGGTAAAGCCAAAAAGCGCCATCATTCAGCGTTACCATGGCAGCAGCGCCTAACCGAAGTTAAAGCCTGTAAATGGTGGAAAAACAACACATCTCACCTTTTTCGCCTTCATCTCGCTCTAATAATAAACAGCTGAGAGTTGATCAGAGCTGAATTATCTTTGCAGTGAAGGCTACTTCTGTTCGTTCGTTTGTTTGCTGATGATGCATGTGACGCACGTGATTCATTCACTTGACGTTACTGAGTAGGATGTGTGCATGTGGGTCATTTCAGGACGCTGTTTCGTTCACATTAATAACAGGTTTGAATCAGCTACCTAAACGAGTGTGAACCATCCTGTCAGAGAGATCGGATTTGAGCAAAAAATCGGATGCTTGTAATGTGAATATAGCCTTTCTGTGATGTAGGTTTATTAGAAATGATGCATTTCACATCAAAACGCTTTACATCTTAATGACTGAATTATGTAGAAATTTCAGTGGAATTCCCCATTAAATGTATTTTTTTAGGTGGCCTAAGATCCTTGCACAATGCCCTACATAATGTACAAAACTTATTGAAAGATTTTAGCAATGTTGTTTACAAAACATGCAAGATGAGAATAAGGAGCTGTAGACATGTGATGTACCTGTTGCTGCCACAGGCCATTATCTGGTGCTGGGTGCTGATGATCATGGAGCAGTCCACTCCACACAGCACACGGTGGGCTTCAAATTCAGCTGGGACATTCACCTGCTGCGGGGCATTGTGGGTGTCCTGACTGCCCAGCCCTAAACGACCTGAGAGAGAGAGTGACAATAATATTGGGTTGTGCTGCTGCCATAGAGACAGAAAAACTGGAGAACCCAGCGATCAAAGGACAAGGTGCACTGCTAATTTACCATTGTCTCCTCTTCCCCAGGAGAACACCTCTCTCTCATTGGTCACAGCCAGCACATGCGAGGCCCCGCAGGACACCTGAACCAGCTCATAACCCAGGAGAGCCTCCACTATTTTGGGCTGCACAAAGACAAAGGCAAAGACAAGGCCAGAAGACAAAAATACAGTTTGATTTTTACCATAAATATACCATTAAAAAAAGAAAGAACGTCTCTTTTGAGCTAAACTAATAGTAAAAAAAAATTAAAGTTAGAAAGAAAAATGATTTACACAATTTTCCCCTTACCCCATCAGTAGTTAATCAACCAACACCATGTTTGGTCTCCAAAGTTTAGTTTAGAGCTATGAGGCCAATGTAGCTAACAAGTAAAGCTTAGAATTCACCAATTATTAGCAACTGAATTCAATTAAATTCAATGTATTTGTATAGTGCTTTTTACAATGGGCATTATCACAAAGCAATTTTACAGAAATCCGGGTCCAAGCCCCAAATGAGCAAGGCAAGGGTTACAGTGGCAAAAAAAAAACACTCCCATCCTCCTCTGGTCAACATCAGATAACAAAAACTAACACAAAAAATAATCACACGTTGGCCTCAAACCATGTCAAGTTATCACGTAATCTCAAATAACTTGTTTATGTGGTTTCTGACACTGTATGACACATGGTTATTTACACAAATGTACATCGCAGAGCTAAAAGCAGTAGTTGCAGCCATGTGGAAGCCAAAGTGTTGGTACTTTGATCCTTTTTTATTTTATAAATTATTCTGTCAAACTGTTCCATTAGTAGTTCGTGACTTCTTAAACGAAAATAAACGTCAGCTACAACCTTTAAGCCGGAGGAGCAGGCCTAAGTGGACAACTGTGATGAAACTTTCATTGGATTACAACAACATCCAAATGTCATCACTATTCTCTTTATTAAATGGCTCAAGGCTTGTACAAAGTCTCAGAGCTCTGGATCTTTAGAGCTGGTTTTCAGCTCAGCTAGAGACAGTGCGGTTGATGCAATGCTCTTGCTTAAGCTGTGAGGTTGGGGGCAATCTATTCACCCTTTAATTTCCTCCCTCTCATCTCCGGGGTTCCTCTCCATTCCGTTCATCGAACACAATCTGAGAAATGTTCTGGCACACTTCCAGGTACATCAGCCTTGGGTGCAAATAATGTTTTTTGGCAACACAAAGGTAAGCAATGTATTAAATGTTTTTATTTCAGTCGTAATTATGCTTGGTTTAATAGTAACACAACGGCTCTTTTGGTGATAATTGATCGTATTCTGCTCAGGCGCTGTGTTAGCACCACCTACTCTTTATCACCTGCACCTGTGTCTTGTTTATAGACTCATTGAGGCACTCACAACCTGCCTGAAGCTGGTGTTTGCGAAGTCATGTGTAACACACATTTCTGAGCTGTTCTGGTCCCCGTTTTCTTTTGTTTCTGATAATTGTTTATTTTTCTTTTGCCTTGCCTGTTTTTGGATTAAGGGCATGGATTTGCATGTGTTAACTAGCCTGCATTTTGACTCACTGTTCCTATTTAGAGTACAAATCCTGGAAATACCTAAATAAATCATCTATGTGTATTAGAGTTTTGCAATATGATAGTCTATCATAAAAAATATGGTTTTCTGAGTGTATCACTGGTATAATCATTACATCCAGAACATACTTGTAACTTGTAATACTAACAACTTGTAACAATTTTATAAAATATTATACAGGGCTGGTTTCCCATACTCAGGTTAAGTTTAATCCTAGACTAAAAGAGATTTTTAATGGTAAATCACCACTGACATTACAATTTAGTCTGTAGACTAGGCTTAATCTGTGTCTAGGAAAAGAATCTAAACAATAATCATCATATAGTAACTACATGAACTATACAGTAAATGTAGCTCATTATGTCATTATCTAATTTATTTATATATATATATATAATTTAGATCTAAATATCATGATATGTTTACTTAACACATACATCCTACCACATATGCCTCCCATCACTGAAGATAGAATCCAATGAATGGTTACCTGTGTCACATCATTGAAATTTCCATGTCCCAGACATCCATTGCTGCCACTTCCAAATGTCATAATTATGCCCCTGTCTGAGACACAAAGAACTAGTGTTAACAGCATTAAACTGCACGATAAACAGCAAAAACATTTAAATCCTAAACAAAGCATTAACTATTAATCTGTTTTCTGTCAACAATAGTAAGTTATTAAGGAGGCTGTTTGATCTTGTGTTGAGAAAATGGATTAATGATTGCTCTTTAAGATGACTGACAGTAAGACCACCACAATGTTTTAGTGTAGACAAACCTATATAACCATTAAATAAATCATTTCTCACTCACAGCACCTACCAATAAGATGAGCTATTCTTTAAATGTTGGCCATTTTTCAACATTCAAACAAACATAAAGGGTTTACGTTCAGTCCTCTGTTGATATAGAATGTAAACTGAATGTAAGTGAATACCATTATATAGATTATATAATCTATTTTGTAAATATGTTATTACATTTTTGTATTACAGCAAAACCACTGTAATAACTCTATGTCCTCATGCCACTACGTCCTCACTCTGCATTATTTCACTTTAACCCTGTCTATTTGTTCTGTTTCTGCTGTTGCCTATAATGGCCAGTGTACCTGTCATGCAGGTTGTAAAAAGATCTCCACAGGAGACTGATTTGATGGTGACACCAGACTGGCCCTCCAGGAAGCGAGAGATGAACTGTGGTTGCATCTGCTCCACAGCGCCAGGCAGGGACGGCTCGCCAGAGCCTACAGAAGGAGCCTGTCACAATGTCATATTGAAGACAACAGGGGTCATTCCAATCCACATTACCTGAGGAATGGGCATTTGAACCAAACCTATTACATATGCAAAGTGATGTCAAAGGCATAGTCTGAATTTTTTTTTAAATGTTCATTGCATGTAACTCCTTTTTGTAAAAACAGGCTTTTTATTCAGGTTTGTCTAATAGCTATAAATTCAGATTTATTTTATAGTTATGAGAGTGAGAAACTGAAATGTGGGCCAATGTAAAGGTCCATGTTGTTTAACTGAAAATATAAGTTTGTATCAGTAAACATAAGCCATTTTGTTATGCTTATGATTTTATAAGTACAGCATATTGTTGACATTGGAACGAAATCATGTATCTCCATTTTTGTAATTTTTTTAAAATAATTTGAAAACATAAGCTGTCCTTTACGTTTTTGAAAATGAAACAGTCGATAATGACTTGAGAACAAAATCTCTTTAGATTTACTTACATTATAAATTAAGAATGTTTTTGTCTTTTCCTGTAATGTTAACAGTTTTTTTCCGAAGGCAACAAGTATTTGAACTAAACTACTAAACATCCCACTGCCTCAAAAATAACCAATAAAACCATAGAATTTATTCTATGACTAAGTGAAAATTAGGACAGTTGTAGACTTGGCTGCAGTGTTATGTCAATAAAACTAGAGAGCAGATTTCAGAGAGGATTTAAACCACCACCAGTCCTATTTGCAAAGGGCTAGTGTGGCTGCAGGTTTTCATCCTGGCTAACTCATCAACTGTTTGAAGACTGGGACCAACAGATTAAACACATGGAACCAGGTGTGTTTCTGCTTGACTGGAATGAAAACCTGGTGCCACACCTGCCCTTTGTGGATAAGACTCCTGACTCCTGATTTAGACTGACCTCCCAGGTGATGAGGCGCCCAGACTTGGTGACGCCCATCTTTTGGGTGCGGCCGAGGGACACCTGCAGCACCTCCGTGTTGAGCATGGGCAGACGCAGAGGCGCGGAGATGCCGCTGCCCCATGTGTACACCGATGACAAGGGGAGAGAGTGCATCATCTTTGTGGAACTTAAGCTAGACAGACCACCTGATAAAAGGCAAAGACAACAGCAGACTGTGATTATAAGCAATGTAGAAGACGATACAATGCAGGCTGTTTAATATCTAGAAGAGTGCCATTCATTTTGTTTTAAAGATTGTGTAATAGAAGTTTTTCTTTTCAGATAGAAACTTTACAGTCGGCTGATGTTAATATTAAATTTAAACTGATATTAATATTAAACTGATATTTTTCAGCCCTGCGATGGACTGGCGACCTGTCCAGGGTGTATCCTGCCTTTCGCCCAATGACAGCTGGGATAGGCTCCAGCACCCCACCGCGACCCAGAAGGATAAGCGGTTTAGATGATGGATGGATGGATGAATGCTATTTTCCAATTAGCTATATTTTATTGAATCACTTCACCTATCCAAAAGTGCCATGCTCAGGCTACTCCAACAATTCTTTTACAAAATAATTAAAATAAAGGCATCCCAGAAACATCACTAAATAGGTTATTTAAAGTAAAGAAATTGGAACTATAGTATAAAACTAGCTGGTTGTTGTTTAATGTTAATGTTAGGCTACATGTTACAATTTTCTAATGTATTTCTTTACATTAAGCTATACTACATTATTTTAGGCTAGAATTTGGTTCATTCAATTTGCTCCCATATCTGATACAGCATTTGCTGCTGGTATCAGCCCAGTACAGATATTGGTCATCATATCAGTGTCATCTCTAACTTGTGTATGCTTTTGAACCCCAATCCATACAGCACTTTAAGCAGACACTCAATACTCCCACTGGTAGCACTCTCTACTCTGATTTTTTTAGCATCTCTATGATCCCATTTAAACATCTGAATAATAGATGATAAGACATGAAATCTGACCTCTGGTTCTGGTTCCAGTTACTCGTCCTCCAGGTCTGCCATGAGTGCCTGTCTGCACGGTGGACAGCGGCTTTTCAATTCTGAGGGAAACAGGTTATTCAGTAAACGTTTTCCTTAAAACTAATTCTAATCTGTTTTTGATTTGTGATCTTATGAATCACCTGCGCATTTTGACATTGCCGATGTCAGTGTAGAGGTTGAGCAAGGGCCGGATACAAATAGGAAGGGCCATGATCTCATTGAGCTGGGGCCGCTTGGAGGGATCCAGGTTGAGCATGTTGAGGATGAGCTGCCGGAGCTCGGGGCTGTATCGGTCTGAAATTGGAGCGAAAGTGCCACTCATGATCTTTAGCACCAAGGCTGGTAGGTTCTGAGAACAAAAGAAAAGAGAAGTCCACTCAGATTATCACCCAATAGGTTCAGGCTTTTGGATCTGATTTGAGTGGAACCAAAAAGCAGGTAAAGGATGTCTTACAGCTGCCTCAAAAGCTCTTTTGAGGCTGGCGAGTTCATAGAGCACACAGCCCAGGGCCCAAATGTCACTCTTCTGGTTGTACGGCTTTCCTTCACACAGTTCAGGAGAGATGTAACAAGGTGTCCCGACAACCTGCATTTAAAAGCAGGAGCCTTCAAACAAAACTCAAATGTGCTGAAGGTGAATGACATTCATGGGATTTATCATGTGGTACTTACTGTGTAAGCTTTGCTCTTGCTAACTAGAATTTTGGAGATTCCAAAGTCACCTATTTTGACTATCATCTGGTGCTTGTCTAGTAAAATATTCTGTGTCTTGAGGTCTCGGTGAAGAATGAGTTTGTTGTGCACATGGTAAAGGGCCAATAAGATCTGCACAAAGAAGTGCAGTATGGTGTCTTCATCCAGCAGAGAATTGCATCGCTTCTGGATGTAATCTGCAAGTGTGCCACCTAAAATAAAGAAAAGTGAAAAAAACACAGATCACTATAAGGCTACTTTCACATTACAAGCCTCATTGCTCAAATCTGATTTTTTGTTCAAATCCGATCTCTCTGACACGTTGGTTTACACATGATTAGGTAAGTGATTCAAATCTGTCATTAATGTGAATGAGCTGGCGTCCTGAAATGACCCGCATGCACACATCCTACTCTGTAACGTCACGTGAATTAATCATGTGCGTCACGTGCATCAGCAAACAAACTAATGAGCAGAATGAGCCTTTGCTGCAAAGAGACGTGTGGCTTTTCCACTGTTTACAGGCTTTAACTTCTGTTTGGCGCTGATGGCGCATGCGCAGTGTGAAAAAGCACATGAACTCAGATCAGAGCGTTCACATTAAGGTCGCATGGCAACGAATCGGATAGGTATCCGATCTAGGACCACATATGGCTCAGGTCCAATTTGAAAAGATCAGATTTGCGTGTCCACACAGCCCTGAAAACATCAGATCTGAGTCACATTAGGGCAAAAAATCTGATTCGTGCCACTTCAACCTGGTAATGTGAACATAGCCTAATACAACTAGTGGCACCTGTCAGTGTGAAATCTGTAAAATCTCATTACCACAATTTCTAAAAGTGAAGCATTTCCAGAAACCTTAGTGATAAGAATGCTTAATAAATACAACACAAAATTCAGGGTCGTCCTTTCATTGATCTAATTTCTAGTCAAAATGTCTATTAAGTACAAGTTATCCATTTACATACATACACATATTTAATAGAAAATTATGCAAAAGTCTCAACAACAAATCAATTTTTCACAGCTTATTACAGCTTCTATTCTTTTCAAGACTTTTGCTTTTAGTTTTTCAGAGAAATCTGCTGGGATATTTTCCACACCTCTACAGTTCAGTCTTGAAGTTGCATTTTCTGCTTCTCATGATCCAACTAATCCCAAACAGTTTCAGTGATGTTGAGGTCTGGGCTCTGGGATGGTCAGTTCATTGTTCTGAGAACACCAGCAGCTTCTTTGTTTGATTTGCAAGTTTTCTTTTTCTTCTTTATTTTTGTCTATTTCCTTTTCTCAGTAATGGCTTCTTCACAGCTACACGTCCTTTCAGACCCAACGCATTGAGCTGTTTTCTCACAGCGGAAGGATGGATAGACGTGTAATTTTTTTCACTTTTAAAGCACGGGTGGAGCTTCATTTTTGAATCTGTCAAATTTGAAAGCTTTAGGTACTGTTTACTGTTTTCAATGGCCGTTGGGCCCTGGCCATTTGAGGGGTTAAATATTTTGGTTTACTAAATGTAGTCTCTCTATAAGGTTTATATAAAACTGATGTTGCTGTCAAATAACATCTGGCGATCCAGTACTCCAGTACTCCGTAAGCCAAAGGTTTGGATGCTACCAGGCTCTGAACAGTTGCCCTTGTTAGCTGTGAAAGTTAGTAAAGTCTTATGTAATAAGAAAAAGAAGGCAGGAAATCAGATACCTGGTGCATATTCCATTGCAATCATGAGTGCCTTGTCCTCCAGGAAATTCTCATAATATTCAATTATGTTTGGGTGGTTGAGTAATTTGAGCACTTGGCACTCGTTCTGTGCAGCGAGACGCTCGTCCCGTGTCATCTGCTCCACCGGGATTTCCTTTAGGATCACTAAAGCCCCATCAGTCCGCCGCCGGCAGAGGTGCACTATGCTGTCCCAAATAAAAAGGTAATAGTTACCACCAGAAGCTGATCTGTTCATTGCTGTTGGTATTAGAGAACAAAATTAGGTACTTGGTCACCTTAAAAACTGAATCAGTGATTCCCACCTCCAGTCCTGCCAGCACTCCACAGTCCCGTTTTTGTTTTCCTGATCTAACACAACTGATTTAGCTCATGCAGAACTTAATCATTAGCTAATGATGATGATTAGTGGATAATGATAATGATCAGGTGCAGGGATAACATGAAACAGGAATGGAGTTCGGTAACACAGTGCTAAAGAATTCCTCAGACACTTTCACGTCTAGTTGGCCTCTTTCTGTACTGAAAGTCAGTTATTCAAGGATGTACCAAATACATGTATTCACCTAGCAATACAAAAATACATTATAGTTGTGCTGGCCAATGAATCCTCTATACCAGTACTCCAAGATACTGACTAACTGCAATGCTGCTTTCCATTTAGCAATATTTTAATACATTGTGATATCATGCACAGAAAACAGCAATGTTCCTGTTGCCAAGTGATTTGTTTGTTAGTTTTCTGTTACATTTTTGTACTTTATTAAAGGTGTCTAGGACATGAGAGTTAACTGTAATGTAAGCTTTTCTGGCAAAACTCATCAAAACTAAATGAACAGTAAGTTTACTTTCTGAAAATGTGTCCTTTGGTGCAATAACAGAAGAATTCTTGTGTTTTAAGAAGAAGTGTTTTTGAGAAGAAAACATAAAGAATCCAAACAAAACAAGATACTGAATGTCAGGTTGGGAAGAACTTCCTTTTGCAAAATATAATATGGTGTCATAATTCCCATTTCATTTTATGATAAATATGTGATATTTAATTGACAGTGTCTATTTACACTAAGTGAGAATAGCATTAACCGCACAGCCTGGCTATTTGTACTAACTCCGCCTGGTAAATCGGGTGATGATAACACACCAAAACGCTGTATTATTCATACCTTCCATGACCAAACTAAGGCAGCATTGAGAAAACCTGTGTTCAAGGGTGAATTAGAGAGTAAGGTTATTTAGTATTAACCAGAACAGAAGTGAATGCAATTCTCCAATCACCCCACATAAGTATTCAATAAATAATTAATTAAAATATGAATCAAACAGTAATAATTTCAGGTGTAAAACTAGGGTTTGATTCCCCATCTTGGCAAAAGGGGAATGTGCACACTATTTTCATCAGCTATTATTTTGGCATTATAGTTTGACAGTTAATGCTTTTTTTATATTTGAATTATGGGGAGTTTAAGGTAAGAGAGTATTTTGGTTAATCTCATATTTCTAAATTATTATTATTAGTATTATTATTTTTGTTATTACTATTATTATTGTCTTAAATAAAAACAAAAAATATAATTACTCTTTCCAATCATATGGACAAATTAGATTTTTTTTAAATGCACATATACAGATATAAGCAAGTGTTGATGTAGACAATAGCAGTAACCAATCAAACAGGGACAGTAACCCAGAGAGAGAGAGAGAGAGAAGTTGGTAACAATAACCTCAAGTACAGAATAATTTTACTGCTGAAATATAGCTGGATTAACACTGCTGAAGCAATACCAAGAAATAGTTTAAAATAATGTAAGTGCAAACAGCATGATGTTAAACACTGTGTAAATAGCAACATCATTCTTTTTGTACTTGTAAATGTAAATGTGTAAATAGCATCTGCCTGTTTAATTTGATAAATACGTTAGCTACGCTATTTTATATAGCAATAAAGTAATAAACCCCGACACTGTAGTTAATTAACCTAGCTAAGCTTTAGCAGTGCTGAAAACACTGTGGACATCAGCAACTAACTTAGCTAGTTAGCTAGTTAACTTACATTTCATTCCTAGGTTACATTTTAAAGTCTTCCACTTTTCATCTTACATCACCGCTTTCAGTTTTGATGTAAAGTCCTGTGGTAAAGCAGCTCTGCGGTGAGAGGCTGTGCAGCTCCTCTGCCGGAGCGCCTTCAGCTCAGTCTGGTAAAGTTTGGGCTTTGAGGGTAAAAACAACTTATTTCAAGCTCTCGAACTGAGGAGTTCAGGGTGGGCATTTCAGCTAAAAGTCTAGGATTGTTTTTCTGTATGTTGTCGTGTTATTTACCCGAACGCTCCTCTGCCGACCACTTTTATCTTCTCGTACTTCTCCATCTTGTTTGGCTGCTGAGACGTTCCTGTCTCCAGGCAACGCCTTCCACCCGCTACGGAGCGCAACGAGGGACAAACTCAGGAGGAACGAGGGAAAAATCACAGCGTTTTAGAAATGCTAAGACAAAGTGAATAAAAAACAATGTACATTTTCATTTTCAGAACTACACTTATAACATAATAACAATCAGTCTTCATAACTGCTTCACTAATGACTGCACATAAGGGGGAACAATTTCTGCATAGTTTAAACGTTAAAGGGGAAGTCCATCGGTTTTTCAATCTGCACAATTAGATTTACACATCTACGAAATGAAATGGTTAAGATGTGAACAAAGTCATTCAGAGTGGTTTGATGTAAATGCTTCGTTTTAGAGAAACTGACAGAGTCAGAATCTCGTCCAACATCAGAATCTGACCTCACAAATGCTCTTCTAGATGAACGGGTAAAAAATTCCCACAGACACACTCCACAATCTTGTAGAAAGCTTCCCAGAACAGTGGAAGCTGTTGTAGCTGCAAAGGGGAGACCAACTCCATATTAATGCCTATGGATTTAGAATGGGACGTCATAAAAGCTCCTGTGGGTATAATTTGTAGGTGTTCCAATACTTTTGTCCATAAGGCAGATGGTGGAGTGGTAAACGTGGGTGTTCTAGGGCTTTTTTTTCATATTCTTGGTTCACCACCATTGCAAATAAATCAAATCAAGTTTTTCTACAATGCACCATTTCACAACAAACCATTCTGAAAGATTTTATTTACATCCCAATCATTGATTTATGTAGAAATTTTTGAAAAATATGTGAAATTCCCATTTAAATATATTCAAGCTAACATTTTACATGATTAAATTAACTCTTACAGCGTTATACAAACTGTGTGTTGAATGAACGTTTACAGTGTTGACGAACTCTTACAGTATTCGTACATATTCAGCTGTAATGCCTTCATTCATCACTGTGGATTTTGCTATGTAGGGAAGGGGGATGCTGGGCACCAACAACAGGAAATTAGGAAAGTTTCCTGTTCATCGCTGTCCTCAGGCTGGTTCAGTGAGTATGTGAGTGGGTACGTGTGTCTAGACACTGATGAATTGATGAATATAATGACTGACGGATTGTCCCCTCAGGCCTTAGAGATAAGCAGCCTGACTACCTGCCTGCTGTAGAGAAGCCATTAGCATTGTTTCTTATTCTCAATGAAAGTAGCACCCAATAACATCAGAAGGACAGATTTACACATAATGCTGTTGTTTCACACATACTACTCAATAAATCTCATGGACTACAGATCCTACAGATAAAACAGTATTAAATCAGTATTGATGTCTGCTTTGAAATACTGAACACTCTGTTGCATAAGACAGACTTCAAATATTACAATTTTACGGAGGTGAACAGAAGCAGTGTATCATGAGTTGAAAGGGGAATTCCACCCATTTTCCAGCACAAAGTGACCTAGAATACATTGCCTGATGCAACATAGAGACATTGTTTTTCAATCGTTTCAAGATAAGCTTTTGGGCTAAAATATATATCTTTCTTACATATTCATGGTGGAGAGGTACATGCAGGGTACCGTAAGGCAAAATATTTTACCATCATCAGCATTAAATATATAACTCAGAAGTAGGTTCACTGGTAATTTTGTGTTGTAGTCATTGTGACCCCTGGTTCCTATCACCACCACTGTAAAGAAAAAAAAAAATCTCAAGTTTCTTTACAACAAAGATCATCTCATAAAACTTTTCAGAATGACTTTGTTTACATCTTGTTCTCAACAACTGAATTTTGCTGAATTTTTTTGGTGGAATTCCCCTTTAAAATGAAGTCTCTCACATGTACCGGGAGTACATAAGAATGTAGGTTAAGCAGTAAAGAATGAAACAGTACAATGGTGGAGATTTATATGTGCATGTGTTTTTATGAGCAGTTTTGGTGATGCTGCTCCACCACATAGCTCAGAGGTTTCACTGAGAGCGTTCACTCGGCACATTCCTCACCAATGACTGATCCAGTCTGAGAACACAAACTCAAGACACTGGAAACATCCAACCAGGCTGGTCCAGACTGTGAGAAAGAGTCTGTTGTGGATTTCAGTGAAAAACAGCATGTTGTTGAAAATGAATCACAAATATTTGCTATGAAAGAAATTATGAATATAAAGACAAACACTGATCAGCCAAAACATTAAAAACACTTCATTGAATCTACAGTCTTTGTACATTTTATCAGCTCCACTTACCATATAGGAGCGCTGTGTAGTTCTTTACAGACTGTAGTCCATCTGTTTCTCTGTATACTTTGTTATCCCACTTTTACCCTGTTCTTCGGTGGTCAGGACCCCCACAGAACCACCACAGAGCAGGTATTATTTGGGTGGTGGATCATTCTCAGCACTGCAGTAACACTGACATCATGGTGGTGTGTTAGTGTGTGTTGCGCTGGTACAAGTGGATCAGACACAGCATGCTGACATTTTAGCACAGTAACTTCACAGTAACATCTAAACATTCCACTTTCCTGGAGTACAACATATAGGTAATCAAATATCAGATTGAAATATCAGTCAAATCTAAACACCTATTTGTGCTGATACCAATATGATACCGATATTATAATGCATTCCTATTCAGTACTATTTCAATATTCTTTTTTTTCAGGTTTGTATGCTTAGAACAGCACTGTTGTAGTGTTGTATCTTTTTTATTAGTACTGTGCTGTATAGAGGCTATAAATGATTCATGTCTTCCTGCACAGGGTGAAGAATGCATTGTGTTGTGTGAGAAAACCCTGGAGATATAAGCAATCCTATCTCTGTCTGTGGCCTGAGCTTCTGGAGAGTTTCGATAAGCATGTCAGTAACATCAGCCTTTAATGCTTTACCCAATTCCCAAATGACTGTGGGAACAAATTTTAGAGACAGCGTGATCAGGTGACCATTACATTTTCACCCGCTGTTAACTAACCCTCAGTCTGACCATGTATGAAAATTTTCTATCATGATATAAGTGGCCACAATCATCTGGTTTTCAGTACTATTGTATTATTGAATGGGAGTTCCACTGATTTTTCAAAATTTCAAGATAATTCAGTTTCTTGATATAAACAAAGAATTTGATGTGATTCATTGTAGAGAAACTTACAGACTCAGATTTTTTTACAGTGGTGGTGAAAGGAACCAGGGGTCACACAACAGAAATATAGCCATGTTTTGCACTTATTATGATAAAATTGTGCTAAATCTAACAAAAACAAATTTTCTTTGGGGACTATTTTGCACCCTGTGTGCCTTTCCAACATGAGTGGACTTTAAAAAACTGTATCTCAAAACTACTATAAATCAGGCTGCATATTTGTAATTATTTTAGTATAATAGTATCTACAATAGTAGATAATTCACTTGCATCCTCAGAACACACATCCTTTGCTACACTTTCATTAAGTTCTCTTTAAGCACTCTTTCTACACATTAGATTTATCTGCTTGCGGAAGGGGTCCGAAGCATAACCCATGTTACAAACTGTTCTTCTGCATATTGCATGCAATTACACATTTCCACCAGAGAGGCCTCCAAATCCCCAGATCTTACCTAGTGCAGCTTAAACTGTCATGTAGTTACACTGCTTATCACACAAAACAGTACTTACTGAAGAGATCATTACTGAATGGAAATTTCAACTTCAGTTTTGTGTTTATGAGGTCACAAAATGTTACATTTTGATTTTTTTTACTGTGCAAAAGTCTTATGTGCCTGAGAAAACTAGACATATTTTATTTAGAGTTATTTATTTGGGCAGTAAGTGTTTATTTGCTTATAAAAACATGTATATCAGAATAGCATTAATACAATAAGTTGTGGTTTTATGTACGAAAAGATGTTTGTTTAACCCTTTCCAAACTCCTCCTTGTGGTAGCCAAGTATTATTAGTAATCATCTTCCATTAGCTGGCTAATCAATACTTCATTATATTTTATCAATTGTGCTGCTGATAGATTGGAACAAATCTGGAGATGGCTGGAGGCATCCAGGAGACACCTAGAACCAAACTTTGTTCTTCAAACTAGCTCACAAGAAATCAACTACTTTTTGGAAAAATGAACTCTTGTTACACTTTATTGTATTTATGTTAATTTGCATCTATTCTAATGATATGGCGTTTTACAATTAAACACACAATCCTTCTGAGATAACTGGTCTTAAAGCATTATTCTATTTCTATTTAATTTGACAGTAAAGTCTGACAAACCCCCTGCAGTGCCACCACCCTTGAACCCCTGGTTGGCCTTGTTCATTACACCAGCTCCTAAACACAGCAAAAGGTGCATGTACAGTTAGTTGAAGCTGATATTTTTGTTGGATTGGCATTGTATTCATATTCATCCTGAGTGTATCACAAATATGGGCTATAAATAGACACAATGAACAGCAGAAGCTATGAATATCCCTGTGAAGCTTCAATATCATGTAAAAGAGTCAATTACACACACACACACACACACACACACACACACACACAAAGAACATAAATGTCTAACTCACTGCTGAATGTGTTCTACACTGACTGGATGTGGCAGCTGAGGGAAAAATAAAAGCAGTTCATTCCCTGTTTATCAGATATTACAGGATTTTGTGGTTATTGAAACACTGTTCGCTGAGCCCTTTTTGAGCTCATGTTCACGCACCTGTGTGTGAACGTAATAAAGTGAAGGTGTAGAACATTGTCGCATTAAAGCGATTAACGATGGAGGTAAGCTGATGTTTCTTCAAGTTTTTCTCCACTCTCCAAAACATGCAACATAATCCTGTGTTAGAGGGATTGATCACTGACCCTAAGCAAAAACGATGGTTCTTCAAGGGTTCTTTAGTAAAGGCAATAGTTCTATTTAAAACCATAGTTCTATATAGAATGATTTCATGTTTAAATCTTTTTGCATCGTGGTTCTATAAAGAACCTTTTTGAAAACGTTTCTTTGAAGCACCATGAAAAGATTCTTCTGTTGTTACAAACTTCACATCATAACAGTAGAAGAACCCTTTTTGGTGCTATATAGAACCATTTTCAAAAAAGGTTCTATAAAGAACCGTCAACAGCACATTCTCCATCTTTGTGGTTCTAAACAGAACCATTCCCTTTACTAAGGAACCTTTGAAGAACCAACTCTTTTCAAACCCCTTTTTTCACTGTAAACCCCAAAGTTAAAATTCATTAATTGCAAAAGTTTGAACAACCCAGTCAAACATGTTTTGTTGATTTTCTAAGTGCACATCCGTGTGTTCAGTTGGAGACGACACATGTTGTGTTATTTTTATCACAGAACATGTTAAATCAGAAAATAATATCACACAAAAAGTGTTAAAACAATTAACACAAGTAAGTGTGTTGTTATTTAACACATCACTTTTTAGAGTACAACTAAGTTAACACATCCTCTACAGGGAACACACACGAAAAATAAAAGATTTTTCTGCACATTTTCTCTTTATTTGCTGAATTTAACATACTGCAAAAATAAACACACAATACATGGCTGTGATGATCTACGGCACTCGCCTTCAGCTCTTGCCTGTGACCAAATCACAGTCCCTCTTGTGTTCTGTTGCTTAAATAACTAACCCTAAAGCTGTAAACTCCTATGAAAGTTCGGAGAGGCCATGAGTTGTTGCTATATGTTTCTGGCTTGTTATCTTGAGATAACGAGTTAATTATCTTGTGATCTCAAGATAACAACTTTGTTGTCTCGAGAAAACAAGATAACTAACTCGTTATCTCAAGATAACAATCCAGATAATTATAACTGCCTCATGGCCTCTCCGGACTTCCGTAAACTCCTGACTTTTGAGTCTGAAAACTTAAAAATCATACAGACAGTGATTACCTTTACCATTTTGAGCTTAACCCATGCAGGTTTACACTTCCTTAGTTTTGCACTGTAGCGACGAAGCTAATGTAGCTAACAAGTAGTGGAAGTTTTCCTTTTGGTGACAGATTCCTACTACATTAGCCTAATAGCTCCACTGCAAAAGTAAAGGAGCACACTTCAGGCACCAAACATGCCTTGGCTGATGAACTACTTTCAGGCTGAGGGGAAAATTGTGCACATTTATTTTTCAGGGAACCATTAAAAACCACAAATGGGAACTACTCATCACACATTCTCCCCAGATAGTAAGCATACATTAGTCCACTGGTTTGATGTGGTCTGCACCCTGCTGACTCAATACCAATGCTGGCACCTTCAGACCACCCAGATTATTGTCCTGCATACAAGGTCTAACTAGTCACCTCCAGATTTTAAATGCACAGAGACTTTTATTTTGGGAAGTAAACTAAGACAAATATTACAAACAACTGAGAGAAAAAAACAATGATAATTTTGTTGAAAATACTGTTGCTGAGTGTGCTAGATTACAGCTGTATAACCAGATTTGTTTACGATATTACTGTTAAAATCATTTAATAAACTAACTAATTTACAAAGGATAACGAAAAAATGAAATTAAGAAAAAATAAGTAAATTGGACTGTGAGTGAAAAACGAGCAATAAAAAGTGGTATTTTGTGTAATAATCTGCTTAAACACCAGCAGACTGCCCGGAAAACACTAGGAAAAAATCCAGTGGGCCGCCCACTTTGCCATCAGTTGGCCAATAGTGACCCGCTATCATTTTGCTGTCTGGGTCACTGTAAGGAAATTATTTAGGGCCAGTTTCCTAGAGCCAAAAGCAGCAATGAAGAGCACTTCCAATGGGGAATCACTTTGGCATCCACGTCAGGCTGTCTCTGGAGAGATGGGACTCTGTGTGCTTGAGTCGCCCTCTTGTGGCTGTTCTCTTTTTTTTTCAGTGAAAGTCATAAAAATATCACTATTTATGGCCTCATATCTGGAAATCTGAACTTTCCTCACATTTTGAAATAAAAGAGTTTGGAAAAGGTTCAGTCTCCAGTCCATACACTCCATATATGGACACTAAGCCACAAAAACAGCCTGTTTTTAATTTGTAGCTTTTGTGATGTCACAAAAACCATTGCACTCACATATATACACCCATTCAGTCTACAGCGGTTTAGCTCTGCCCATTCACGTTGAAGTTATAAGGAGTGTTTCAGACCATATTGCCTTTTGAACGAGGTAGCCAATCAGAACAAAACTCATTTACATATGGTGCCTTGCAAAAATATTCAATGACTCTTCTCCCGTCACAGCATAACCAGCAAGCTGACTGGCTCTTTTTATTGAAGGGTAGGGCTTTCTCCACAAACATCTTGGATATCACTCATATCATGGAACAATGAATTCTCCTCACTTTTTTGAAGTAAAGACTTTGATGTGGTGTGTAAATATTGTTAAAGTTTTAAATTGTACCCCTCACTCCCCAGTGCAAATATGGACATGAAGCAGCAAAACAGCCCGTTGTGAATTTGTTGTTTTCATGATGTCCCAAAAACCAACACATCAACTCATATATCTGCCTGATAGGCCTACAGCTGTTTAGCCCTGCGCCTTCACGCTGAAGCTATAAAAGTGCTTCAGCTCATGCTACTTTTTCATCATGCAAAGGTTCTTTGAGTGCTCATGGTTCTATAAAGAACTACTTTCTTTACTTGAGAACCCTGAAGAACCATCAGTTTTCATTGTGTACTACAACTACTACTACTAATAATAATAGAGTAAGATTTAATATTTTTATGTGCCAAAGGAATTGCCAGAAAGATGGTTCTTCAGTGTTTCTTTAGTAAAGATAATGGTTCTATATAGAACAGTGACACTCAAAGAACCATTTGCATGTCTAAATGGTTCTTTGCATGGTGGAGAATACGTTGTTTGGAAAACAGTTCTATATAGCACCAAAAAGGGTTCTTCTATTGTTACAAACTTGACATTATAGTGATAGAGGAACCCTTTTTGGTGCTATACAGAATCTTTTTCAAAAGGACAACACACTCTCCACCAATCTGAAGAAGCATTTCACTATGCAAAGAACCTTTTAAGCATGCAAATGGTTCTTTGAGTGTTTTATGGTTCTATGTTCTATGTAGAATTATGGTTTTTACTAAAGAACCTTTGAAGTGCCATCTTTTTTAAGAGTGCACTGTCCATCCCCACTCACCTTCCCCGAGTGGACATCAGGGCCTGATGTGGAGAGGGGTCTCTCTCACTTCACATTAACATGACAAAACATGCACAACGCCCATCCCTGCTGACAAAACACCTAGAAACCACTGAGTGTTTCTGTTGGTTCCTGGTGGATTTATAATGTGTTTTGGCTTTTATAATGGGTTGATATCACAGTGTAAACGATCCTAATGGTTTAACAGGTGACCAGTGGCTGATTCTAAATGCATTTGATGGTTTTCTAATGGGATCTAAAGGTGGAAACTAGTGGTCTCTTTTGGAAAATATTAATAGCAACTGCCATTAGAAAGCAACCATAAGGTTTTAATTCAGTTTCTAATGGTTATTTTTCATCAGGGTTCTGTGTATGTACACACTGATTCACGACAATGCAAGACAGATGCCCTCTCTCGACTGACAGCGAACAAATGGACAATAGAGTGACCCTGAGGTCTCGTGACGCCGGGACTTTTTCCACAAGACATGTAAACAGCGCATTGTTTGGTCTGAACAATCGGCCATTTTGTCCTGCAGTCTGAGCGCTTTGCTGAACGTGCTGAGGCTTCTGTCTCAGACATTCTTGTTATGATGCGTTAAATAATGCGACGTCGCCTCCTCCTCCACGGAGCTCTGGCATTTTAGAGGCAGGCTGCTGCCCACACCCCTCCCTCCATCCCTCCATCACTGAATCCGTCCCTTCTCTCCTCTTCTCTAGTGATGAGAATTTCGATTCAGTTTAGCCAACCGATTCTTTCAAACTGTCCGTTTCACTGAATAGATGGTCCGAATCAGCGGTTCATTGATTCACCTTCATTCTCTCATCCATGAGCCGTGAGATTCAGAGAGACTGCCGTTCACAGTAATGGAGTCAGACTCTAACGCCCCAGTTACTAACATCTCAAAGACCTAACGGACAAAGGAAGCCATATACAGAGAGAATATGTGAGAGGAATCAAAGAAGTTGATTTTAACTATTTAAAGTTATAAAACCAATAAACAGCTTGAGATCTCAGGTTACTGTGATTTTACCAAGACTTAAAGTGAAAATCCTCTAACCGTGCCAAAAATAACACAACCTCAGTGGTGTATTGCTTGAACTTAGAGAAACATACAGTATCATACAGTGCATAAATGTTTATTAAACTTTTTTATGATTAATAATAATATTAATAATATTAATTTTCAGCGCAATCCTGCTGACAAAATACCATTACAAACATTAGAATTAAAACCTAATGGTTGTTTGATGTAACATATGCTTATTAGATATTTATGCCATTATCACGACATAACAAACGTTATCTAGCTGAAACAATGCCTGTTATGTTGTGATAATGAGAAGACTCAAGATCTTGAAAAAACACCATTTGTTTTGTGACCTAAATATCACGAGATCTCGAGAAAACAAACGGAAGTACCTCATTATCATGGAAAAACAGAGTTTTAAAAAAACACGAATCCATGACCCTTTAGGGCCTCCGTTCTCTAGAATGCAGCATTTCACATCAAACCACTCTGACTGACTTTATTTACATTTTAACAATTTAAATACGGAGAACAATTGGAAAATAGGTGGGCTTTCCCCTTTAACAGTTACTATGGTTGGTTTAATATCAGTTTTTAAAGTCTTTAAGTAAATAATATATACTTTATTTTGCTTATTTTAGTTTCTTGTAAGTCTATATAGCTAACGCTGCGTAGAGGCTCTAAAAAAGCAGTTCGATTCGCAAATGAATCGGTTCGCCGACTCCTACTGAAAAGAACCGGTTCAAAGAACGATTCGGTTGGTCGTCGACGCTCTCCTCTCCTCTCCACTCCCCCCTCCTCTCCTCCCATCGCTCCTTTCACGCCCCTCGGCCTGCTGGAGCTGCAGAGGGAAAAGAAGCGGAGGGATGAGTGGAGTTCAAATTTGTTTTCGCGGAGATTCACGGTGAAATTCTCTCGCTGCCTCAGGACGCAAATGTGAGGAGAGGCGCGGGATGAGCAGGAGCCTCTCGTGGAGAGAAGAAAACGAGCGCGCGCCTGGAAGACCGGAGCAGCTCTGCGGACTGACAGCCAGTTAACCGGCCGCCCGGAAAACACCTCACACTGGGGTTTGTAGGAGAATCACTACAGGAGCAGCAGTGTACGCGCGGTAAGGATACACGTCCACTGATAAGTGGGAGTCAGTTTCAGCCACCATGGAGCTTCTCTCGCCATTCCTCTGACCTCGTGACACTCAGGAGCCAATCACAACACGGTACAGGCGCTTTCTGCTCTATAACAGCCGCGAACGCAGACAAAGCGAGCGGAGAGGAGCGAGAGGAGAGCCGAGCGCGAGTGGAGGGAGGAGAGGAGGAGGAGGAGGAGGAGGAGGAGGGAGAAGATGGAGGGAACGCTGCTGGCCCTGCAGCGCAACCCTGGCCTCTCCGTGCTCTTCTTCTCTCTCGTGTTCAGGGTGGTCCATCGCCTCCTGCGCTGTCTGCCCGCCCCCAAAGCGGTGCAGCTGGATGAGGTTCGCTGCTGGAAGTGGAGGAACCTGTGCGTGTCTCTGGTGCACGCGCTCCTCACTGGCCCCTGGGCTGTCACCTGGTGGGTGAGAACTTCATCTGCGGTCCTGCTGCACAGTGCAATAACTACTGTGAAGCCAATGTGTAGTTATCTAGAACTGAAGCGTGGGCTCCAGTGCAGGGCCTTACAGTGCATTAAAGAGGTAGTCTGGTGAAAAATGACAGTCTTCTTCCAGATGCAGCTGTGTGGCAAGTGTGTGAGGATTCAAGCAGTTTGCACAGTGCCAACTGACCATTTGCAAAATAATGAATGACGTGCCTCTCAGCCAATCATAACTGTCACCGAGCATTACTTCCTCCGTCAAGCCCTAATCGCTGTACCCCACACTGGAAATCTGGATCACTCCATAGAACACTATTATAGAGAACAGAATTCGAGATGGTAGCAAACAATTTGGGAAGCTACATTATACGGGTTTGCAGATTCTGTCGCATAAACACTATAAACGTCATGCTGCCAGACCACTATAACCGCTGAGTTTCACTGCACGCATGAGAATAGCTTAATTACATCTGTAATAGCTGTGGAAACACTGTGGAGGCTCAGTTAATCCTCCTCAGAGCAGCTGTGCATGAATCTTCAAACCAAGCAATGAAGTGCATTATGGGTATACCCGATTTGCTAGGGCACATCAGTTGAGAAACTGTGCCCTACTCACTATATAGTGCACTATTTTGGGGTTCTGCCATTTTGTCAAACAATTCCACAATGCACCGCAATAAGTGTACAACTGATATACCCTAGCGGACAGGGGATACCCATAATGCATTGCGTTGTCTGAAATTGTTTACTACCATCACAAATTCTGTTCCTTATAATAGTGTTCTATGGACTGATCCAGATTTTCAAATGTATAGTGATTAGGGGTCCATTTTGGACCTGGCTGTACACTGCCTATTGTGGTGCACTGTGGGATTGTTTGAGTGCACTGGATCTTATGTTTCTGGACACTACTACAAAAAGCTGAAAACTCAAAATAGTGCACTTTATAGTGAATAGGGCAAAACATAAGACAATGCTCTGCAGATCAAACTTGCAGTGAGGACAGTACTGGCAGTACATTAGTGAGAATTATTAGGCATAAAAGAGGTGAAAATTATTACTGGGGAGCTTCTAATTCAGACACTGCGGTTTTTATTTCATTCCAGAAGAATTATAAGCAAATGTGGAAGACTCACACCGCACCTAAGATCTGCCTGGAGAAAAAGCCAGATCACTTCATCGGGAAAGGTCGCGGGAACACAAAAAAGGATTTTGTTTCCAGATGCGTTTAATTTCGTTTTGCGCCAGATTAGTCTAGGTGAACTTTAAACCCACAAATTCATTAACCTGGGAAGCATCAGCCAAAATAGAAAACAAGAAGGCAATCTGTGGTGTCTTCTTTCTGAAAAGTACTGTCGAAAAAACTGGGCCTCAGTCAATGTAATGTCGCTTGTCACTCACAGTTTCAAAAACTAGTTTACCAGCTGATGCTAACCTAATAAACTATAGGCTACATTCCCTCCAAAACCACATCAAATCAGTACTGCCTGAACACGTCTGGCAAAGAAAATATTGAGACCACATTCTGGTGTTACCACGGCTTTGTGCCGGCTGTGATTTGAATGTAATTCCTGTTGATCAGTAACGTTACAGAACAATGTTAAGATCGGTTAGCAAAGTCAGCTTTGTGAAACTGCTGTCAGTTAGCCTGATAAATCAGTCAGATTGAGCAGGACTGTACGGTGCTCACACATCAAGATTTAAACATCTTGTGCAAAGATATTTACACAGACTATTAATGCACTCATGCACATTCCGTCATTTGTATTGCTTCAGTAAACTTTGCCAAAAGACCTTGTGTAAAAGTAAAGTCCTTCTCAGGCTTTGCACCAGCTCCAGTGTTAGCTGCAGTGTTAGCTTTAGCATTAGCTCATCTAAAGGGATAGCTTCCATCGCTTAAACTCCTTATTTTTAGACATTAAAACTAACTGACTTGCTTTAAATTGGTGTTCAGTCCTCAAGCCAAAAAAAGTGGAAAATGTTGGTCTGGACTTAATTATAAAAATTAATTGCAGTTCAGATCACAGTCACAGTATTGGCCAGAAAAATCACAATTCGATTTTCCCCAAAAGTATTTTTTGTAAAAGTGGCTCTCCTGTTGATTCACTCCTGAAGTGTCTCACCTCATATTTTTTTAACGTGCCTCATGAATGCCCTGCATCTGGTTTTTGGATTCCCCATTTATTAATTAGTTCTAGCGCAGGGCCTGCTATGAGTGTATGAGGCACAGCTGAGTTGCTGGGGTTTTGTATGCATGTCCTGCCATTTTGAAAGTGGTCCACCAAAAAAATATCCAGCCAAATGCATTGCTGTGGTCTGAAACTGACAGGTTCCCAGCTCTGGTCCTGGAGTACCCCCTGCCCTGCACATTTTAGTGTTTTCCTGCTTTAACACACCCACTTCAAATCAACAAGGGCTTAGTATTTAGCTGATTAGTTGTGTTCGGAGCAGAAAAATCACTAAAATTTGGGGGGTTCTCCACGACCGGTGTGAAGAACCACTGGACTACAAGATGGCTTAGTAATAATGTATGAACCGATGGGCCATAGTGTGTAAGTGTACATCAGCAAGATAGGTATTTTTAATGGAATGTACAGTGAGTGGATAGCTAAAAAGGCAGAGAATGACCTGAAAGGGAAATTATTCTGAGCATGTAATTGTGTACTCTCATGTTTTAATGACTTTTCTAGTCTAATAGTGCTTTAAGCAATCTATTATTCAGTAACTCAGTGTTGTAATGAAGAGAATTCTGGGGTTTATCTGTGATCATCTTATTTCCCTGCAGTGTGTGTCTGTGGCCAGAGACACTGAATAACGTCCATTCTTACTACACACCAGTATCCTACCTGCTCATTTGTGTCTCATCAGGTTAGTAACAACTCACATCACCTACAGGCTCGTTTATCACACACAGTTTCTCTTGGACTGTTTTAGTCTCTAAATTGATTATCCTCCATTAACAATACCTCTATACCTTTACAGCTTTCCACAGTTATTATCACCTGTATTAAAGATGAGCAAACACAGGCTGTAAAGGAACAACTAAAAAAACAAAGAGTAAAAACTCAGACAGCAGAGGTGCCAGACTAAACCTGTTAGCTAACAGTAAACGTATGTATTCTCAGTGATGGTCAAAACCTGTAAAATTAGTTAGAACTTTCTTAGAAGTACTGCCTTTTACTTTAGTTCAGCAGTTTCACTAGTTTGACCGACAGTATTTTCCCATAATAATAACAACAGTAACAACCATTAAAATAAACACAAATATCTGTGAAATAAAGTGATCTTTTTTTCTGAATTCACTATCTGTTTCTGTATTAACAACATTAATTAATTATTAACTAACAACAGCAGTGTTATAAGCATATACCAATTACAGATTACGGTTTATTTACATACATTTATCTGTTCTCAGTAGTTTTTTACCATACTTTGACAGTGAAAATGCTTTTTTTTTACTGTGTATGGAAAAATATCTTTATTTTCTAACAGCTTGATCCTACACTAAAATTATGAGAGACATCTAATGTTTTGGTGACGAAAACTGCCTTAAAACACATGCAGTCAATTTGCATGTTTTGCTGATTTTCTAAGTGAAAATATGAAAACACTTCCTCTACAGAGAACACACTTTAATATGGTACTTTTCTATGTTTATAATTCATACTTATTATTTACCAAAATTAACATATTGGGAAAAAATAAATCATAAGCATAAAATGAGCCATAACATTTGCACAGGCCACATTTTATGTTTTATTTTTTGTTAATGTTAAATTCAGCAAAGAAACAGTAATGTGTACTTTGCGACATGTAATTTAACCAAAAAGAAAACTGAACAGATTTTTAAAAACGTATGTCTCAAACTTATTTCTGTATCCCTGCTGCTGTCCAGATAAGCAAATCTGCCTCCTTATCTGACACAGAGTTACAGCTCATCTGCCTCATGGCATCTTTGAGATGTCCATCGTAAGAAAAGATGATTAAATGTGTAACTGTATGTGACAACAAGAAAACTTTAATGGTCTGATTAAAAAACAAGCAAGCATAGTAAAATTATGGTTAAATATGAATTGTTATAGACTATATATATACACTGTTGTTTGAGTAGTATTGAGGTGTTGTTTCTGAACGAGTACTCGAAGCCTGTATAATGCTGTCTCGGCCCTAGTAAACAGGTGTAGTTGGGTCCACTGTTAGCAAACTATAACGCTTGCCAAAAAGTGGTTAACTGCTGTTATTATTATATATTATTAGATTCATTATTTTGTATTTTGTTGTAGTTTTATAAAAGCAATTAGCCACTCTGGGCTGTGCTTTACAGAGTTAACTCAAAGTAATTACAGTCATTTTATTGTTTTAATGAACAAACTCTAATCCATGAACTCCCATTCATGGCACTGTGTGTATGTGAGACACTTGTTTGAGAATGTTGATGGATATTGTAGAAAATGTGATTGGGTAAAAATTTTAACTACATAGACACAGAGATGACAAAATGTCAAACTCAAGATTTACCAGATAAAAGCCTGTTCCTCACAAAGATAGAATATCACTTCAATATTTAAGTTTCACAGAAATTGCACTATATCTTCATTTTATTACAATTTGGTATACAAGGATAATCTGAGAGGCATCAAGATGATATGATTCGAGCTATAAAGCTGTGCTGTGTAACTGAAGCTACGGTCAAACATTCATATTACTTTATAAAAAAAACTTTAGAAACTTGTTTACTTACACCTGATGTATATGACTGGCTGACACTTATATTACTATGCAACAGTGAGTCTCCAGGCTACGAAAGCATATAAACAATAAAAAACAGATAATGGACTGAGGATATTCTCAGTGACCACTCTTACATTAAAGCCATGCAGAAGTTATTTACAGGTCTGTCCTGCCAAAGCAGTGCTCAGGGCACTCTGTCACACTGCTAATGCTGGCCATAATGAAATATAATTAGCTCCTGACTTCATTCTGATGAGTGGAACATGCACTGACCATCACTGAACGATTAAAGCATTTGAAGTGGATACAGTTTGGTTCTGATTTATTTAACATTAAGTTTATGTAAAGATGGTTGAAGTCCTAGGTGACCTACATAACTGTGTTTCATTCATTGGCTTTATCAGTCTAATTCTGATGACTCTGGGTGCCAGTAAATGGGTAAACCACTTCAATCGTATACCACAAAACAAAATTTAAATATAGTCATGTTTTACTGCTTAAAGCGGGCATGAAAAGTGTGTTCTCTGTAGAGGATGTGTTCACTTATTTTCACCTAAAAAATCAACAGAACATGTCATTTGACCGGGGATGCTCAAACTTTTACACACAAGTGTATAGGAAATTATACAGTGTTTTCCTCCAGGCCTGAAACAAACATGTATTTGAATACGGCATGGAATAAGCAAAGGGATAACATGGGAGATCCCGGAGAGGCCTTGTCTTAGCAATGGAAATCAGATAAACAAAGGCTTCTTTTAATTTAAAGGTACAGATTGAGAAGATGGCTAAAGGGGAAACACTGTCATATTTATTTATAATTATATGAAATATTTTAAAATTGGATTTCTTCAAATGGGCTGAAGTGGAAATTGGATATTGCTCAAATGGCACAAAATATACCAATGTACTTGGGGAGGGAATACCTAAGTACAGCCTATGTATGGCAAATCCTTATTTTATTCCAGTTAATTTTGGACCATTTCTATTGGTCCATTCATCATGAAATGTTTACATAATGTAAAGGAGAGCTGCTGTAACACAGTGTAAAAAACAATGAGTGAAGTGGTTTTATTATGACAGGGATGATATGATTCAGCATATTCCTCGATATTTCTGAATCCTGAACCTAATCTGATCCTGTGCCCTTGTTGTCACAGGGTACTTTGTTCAAGACACTGGAGACATTCTATTCTCTGGCCATGCCAAAGGATCCTGGGAGTTCCTGCTCCATCATTTCTTGGTGAGTTGCTTTTGGTCAACAGAGGGCAGTGAAATACTCACTAAAGTGGTCTGCTGAATGACCAAATGTCAGAACGAGTTTGCCAGTGTTCTGTTTAAACCTCCTACACAGAGAGGTCATTTGAGGTAGACAACACTGAGGGTGTATATTCAGCACAAAAGCCACTGTGTGTCAGAGAGACTGTCTCTTCTGTCTGTCAGGAAACAACACAGCCCTTCTGTAAACAACAGTAAACACAACAGGAGCGTTTAGTAGCTCATTAGATTACAAAGGATACTTATTGTTTATAGACAATAAGTAACAAGGCCTGGATGATATAAAAAAATAATTAGCACAGTATTTTCTAGTTAAAAAAAAAACAATTATTGATTATATCACCACCCCCCCACCACCAGAAACCACCTCCCTACCTCCAGCCACTAACCAATCCATGGTCCAGTACATGAGTTTTGAACATTAACTGTTTTAATGAAAATCTTTGATAAAAATCACATATTATATAACATAATAACCCAACATCTTTTGAAAACTAGTTCACCTGTCGTTTTGATAGAGGTTACTGCGAACATGTGCATTCATGCACTCCTTCTGGTGTAGTCTCATGTCGACTTGCCTGCTTACAGTGGCCCCTCTTTAGAAACTTCAGGCTGCAAGTCATTTCCAAAGCTGTGCTCAAGTGTTTTACATGAAAAAAAGAAAGAAAGAAGTAATTATTTTTAACAAAACCACTTAAACCACAACTATTGGCACCCCTGGAAATTCTTAGAAACAAAATGAAACATGAAATGAAGCATTTTTTCCATTTATATTTTACTTTTTTAAGCTGCTCAGAGTGTCTTGGAACCTTCAAGCAGTAATCCATGACTTCCTGTTTCACTGGGATATATATATATATATATATATATATATATATATATATATATATATATATGGTAACAGAGGTCAAATTATGTCTTATTTTTTCTTCAACATGGGAAAGACAAGAGAACACACAATTCAGTTAAGAGAAAAGTGTGTTGACCTTCATAACTCAGTGGGGAATGGCTCATAAGGGAATGGCTATAAAAAATAGCTACTCACCTGAAAATGCCCATGTCTACAGTTAGGGCAACAGGTCGACTGGAACTGTGACAAACTTGCTTGGATGAGGACCCAAGTTTATTTTGGCCCGATGCACAGTGAGAGGCAAAAAATCCCCAAGGATCACTGTTGGAGAGTTCTAAATGCTACTGGCACTTTGACTGAAACTGTGTTCTATGGTTAGATGAAATGAAAACTGAGCATTTTGGCAACACTCCAGGTAGGTTTGGCATAAAAAGAAGGATGACCACACTGAAAAGACCCTGATGGCCACTGTTGAGTATGGTGGAGGCTCTGTGATGTTGTGGGGCTGATTTTCCTCCAAAGGCCCTGGGAACCTAATTAGGTTACATGTCATCATGGACTCAAAAATCAAAATCTGTCTGCCTCTGCCAAGACACTAAAAATGGGTCATTATTGGATTTTCCAGCTGGACAATGATCCAAAACATGTCCAGGTCAACACAAAAACGGTTTACTGAACACAAAAGCAAGTGTCTGCCATGGCCATCTCAGTCGCCTGATCTGAGCCCCATAGAAAAACTGTGGGGTGAGCCAAAGAGGAGAGGGCACAAGAGAGGACCTAAGATGCTGGATGATCTGGAGAGATTCTGTATAGAGGAATGGTCTCAAATTCCCTACTCTGTGTACTCTAACCTTATAAGATGTTACAGGAGAAGTCACTATGTGAAGTAGTACAAATGCAGTGGTGCTAATAATTGTGGCCTGTGTGGTTTTGTTAAAAATAAATATTTCTTAATGATATTTTTTTTTTCCTCAGAATAAATTTACTTCAGTTAAGGGTTAGATTTTCTCCTTTTTATTGGGAAAATTAAGCTAATTCACCAAAAGGTTCTTATAACCCTTTTTACTCATCTTTACCAGGGGTGCCAGTAATTGTGGAGGAGACTATATAATTTCACAGTTTAACTCAGCTCAACCACCGGGACACTTAAGCTGTACGGAAAATACTCTCTCCTTGTTAGCAGCACCATTTAACCTTTAGCTAGATCGATGGTTTGACATTAACTCATCGCTCATAAATCATGCCCTGCTTTAACTTATTTGGTGATCATGTAAGCAAACTAAACTTGTTTGATTGGTTTCTGCTTTCGGCAAATGTGGTGACACAAGACATCCATGTAGAAGCAATCACACAATTAGCTAAACGTGTCGAGAAAACGGTTTGTTAAGCGCTCTGTGTCGAATCGTGTCCGTGTGTAAATGCCACTGGGACGGTTGCTCTTTGCATTCAGAACCATTTGCCGCTACAGTGCAAAAGAGGCCAAGGTTTTGATAAGACAACAATAAGCTCTGTTTGAATGATGGCGCAGGAGGTTAAGAAAGGCAACAGTAACAGGAAATGAGTAGGTCATTTTGTATAAGATAGTCCTCACCCAGGCATTTCCATAACATTTCGTATCTCCATAACAGGTGCTGTGGTGCTTCCTGTACTCCCTTTACACCCAGCGCAATGTGGCGGGGATGGTGATATCCCTGGTTGTGGAGATCAACAGCGTGACGCTCCACACGCGGCTGTTGCTGAAGCTGGCCGGAGCTCAGTCCTCGCAGCTCTACCACACTAACAAACTCCTCAACCTCTTCACATACGTCACCTTCCGCCTCGGCGCCCAGTTCTACGTCACCTGGTACCTCTTGAACAACTACTCCTGGCTGGACCACAGCAACTACTTCCTGCTCACCGTGCTCCTCCTGAACACCATGATCCTCATCTACTTCTACCGGCTGCTGAGAGCTGACTTCTTCCCCCGTAGGAAGCTCCACCTCGAGCAGAACGGCACTCTCAGCAGCAGCTCCTCTACGTTCCTCAATGACTGACCATCCCTCCAAGGTCTGATGAGGACTGCTGACAGCATTACCTTCTATCCTCACGGTGTACTCGGTTTGGTTTAACCCATTCAGCTGGGATGTGTGCGTTTACCTCAAGGAAATCTCTAACTGCCCAAGATCCTTCTTCTCACCAACTCCAGTGTTTGTGTGGTCATAGTTAATGTGTAATGTGTTGTGAATAAGCTGTTTTGCCTTCAGTGTTGGGCCTTATGGACTGATTTCTTGGTTGTAAATAAAGCGAGCAATAATGTAGCATTCAAATTCAAATGCTCCTAAGATGATCTTTTATATCATAGATAGCGTTCTCTTTGATTCTTAACCTTGCCTGTCTTCGCTATGTTTGGTTTCCTGTTTGAATGTTTTGGGTCATCAAGTGAGATAGTTTATGTTATACTGCTCTCAGTTGGCCACCATGACCTCTCCCTGAAAACCACCCAAATGAACACTGTAAAGCTTTAAATTTAATGTCATGTATGAGGTATACAAACTGGTTTGACTGAATTACCAAGCAAAAAAAAGGCTTCATGTGTCAGACTGCTAAGGTTACTGGACAGCTGTGGTCCATTTGTGTTTTTGACCATTTTCATTCAGGCACAGTGACATGCTGGCAGATCCTTGGGTTCGCAAAGAAGAGGATGATCTGTGAAACCACCAGCTTATTTTCACATTTCCCATATAGATGAGCAGTACTGCCAACTTAATACAGTGTCATAGTACATCAGCGCTTTATTTTTACACCGCCGTTTTCTTTTGGTGGAACGTTTGACAGTTTATTTTCTGTTTTTTGGTAACATTAATATGAGTAAACTTTGTGATAAATTCAGGTCAGTGTTAAAAATGTTTTAAAATGCATTTCTTTGTATTAAAATGGGAAAGCATGCAGATACTAGGGGCAAACGTGGGAAAATGCCCACCTTAAGAACAGTGTTCATTTACTGTAAGGCTAAACCATACCTGTGCATGAGCTGACGATGATAAAGATGATGATGATGATGATGATGCATAAACCTATGATCAGTTAGAGGAACAGAAGTTAATGCTGATTTTATAGCACAGAAAAAAAAAAAAACAAACATTTAAAAGATTATCTGGGGTTAAAAGCCCCCCAGGTGTATCATGCATCATCTGTCATCTACAGAATGTATAATTTATATGTCCAGTCATTTCTAGTCATTTCTAGCATTTTTCAAAAATTGTGTTGTCTTAATGATTCCCCTTGATTTTAATAAACTATGACAAAAGTCAAATGACAGTAAAAATGATTACAAGAATTACATATGTTAATTCACTTAATGATATTACTAATGCCACTACTACTTATTATTATTATCCATCCATCCATCCACCCATCATCTAAACTGCTGATCCTTCTGGGTCGCGGTATTATTATTATTATTATTATTATTATTATTGCAACAATAACCATTTAAACGATGCAGTACACATTCAGTATTTAATTGGTCAGTGTAATAATTATTGTACATGACGGAACAGATCAGGTGTGAATGGAACTGTAAAACCCACACTAGCATGCTAATGCTAGCTTTGTGTCTTTATCATTAATAAAGTAGTAGTAAACAATATTTGGGGGCAGTATGCTAAAGGGGCCTTTTGCCCCATGTCTGTGGGCACTTCCCACTACTATCACCTTTAAAGAAAAATGAATTTCCTGTCTAAACCACGTAATGCTCTCTCCACAACTCCTTTTTTTTGCTCTGAACTCATAAATACTGGTACACTGGAATAGTGATTTAAATGTAAGTGAGCTACCAAAAACAACTGCAAACTGGCAAAAGTATCAGGTTAAAACATAATACTGAGTGGAGTTGAAACCTGTTCCTCCTGTACATCCAGCAATGTTAACTTAGGAAAGCGTTGTTACACAATATTCTTCTTACTTTTGGTCTAAAATATATAACATTACAGAATGAAGCCAAACACAAAGCAGGAATTAAGGACCACATGTGAAAGGCTAGTGAAAAGTAGATTCATTTTTCTCATAAATATAGGCTGCTGGAGCAAACAAAAGTATTATTATTTAAAAATACAAATACAAAATTGATCTTAAATATGTGTAACCGAGTAATAAATGTTAGTTCTGACCCACTCCGGCTCTAACACAGCCTCAGCTCAACCGAAACTGAAGCAGGAGAGAGAGACTACAGCACCAGTACGGTCCCTCGGTGTGTCCTAGTTCCTGTGTGTGAGGGTATCAGCACTAGGGTGCAGTGGAGAGTCTTCTTCACCTCCTTCTTTCCTCCTTTTTTCTGTTCTTTTTGGGAACAGAGGGATTAGAAGGATTGCTCAGGAAGGACGCCTGGAATGAATCTGTATGCGGTGGGCGACCCAGCACTTCCGCAGGCTGGAGTTTACTAAAGTTTTCTTTTTAATCTGTAAAATACGAGCTTTAAAGTAGAAACGCTGGCCCTGCTGCTCACATACTGGTCTTAACACAACTTTATAGTCCGGTTCACCAGAGGAGCGAAGCGACATCTCTGTGTCTGAGCCGAGAGGTGAGTAGTCTGGTGCAGCCTTGCAGACTGAAAAAACAGTGAGTCAGGCCGGCTGTGTCACTTTACAAACCCGTTTCTTTCATTTCTGGATTACTGTAGGCTAAATGAAAGTTTATGTTTGGGGTTATAGGCCAGACTTAAACGGGCATACAAGCCTAACAGCCTAACGGCGGATTCTTAAAATACTTGTTTTGATTCCTCGTCAGGCAGCAGCGCTACATTAGCATGCTAAGCAGAGTACAAGGGATATTTTAGACTCCTACTAGTGTTTATTGTTGACTGGCACAGTTATTAAAATATATAGTATATTAGCCACCTATTAAGAGTGTTTTATTAGACTGGCACAGTCTTATGAAACAAACAGGCGGTTTTCTTTGTCTGCAGATTTGCTGGATTAGCAAAGCGAAGATGAGTGAGACATCAACCTAGTAACGTTTCAGCTGAATGAATACGACGAGTTAGTTAACCTAAGTCGATAGACTTTTCCATGAAAAACTAGACTAGGCTACAGTAGTTGTGCCTTTAAATGAGAAACTTTGCCAACTTTTCCTTGTCACATGATGTAGGTCCATCTCCTGTAGCATTAAAGGGGCATTCCGGCCCAAAACCAGCCTTTAATATGTCATTTTACATGTTATGTAATATTGTCGTAGCATGGTATCCCTCAGCCTCAGCTTGACAGAATTCACGATTTTATATGCCTTTTCTGTGCTTTTTGCACTACAGTACCCAGCATGCATTATGCAAATACGTCATACAGCCAGTAGCATTGCCTCTCATGTAGTGGCCTTTAAATACAGACGTGATATTTGGCTTCTGCCCTAAAGTGCTTCTCTCAAAAGTTCCTCCCACCTTCAAAATACATCATCAGAAGGGAGTTTACTTAGTCTTTAATCTAGAAAGCCTCACTCTAGAGAGAGACTACTGTGGCACCACTGTAGGAAGACTGGTGGACATGTTTACAACAGATTTTACATTTTGACTGGAGTGTCCCTGAACCGTTTGAGCCAGTTGTGTGAACGACTTATTTCTGTTTAATGGAGTGAAGCAGGAGAAGTTCATGTATAGAGGAGCCAGGCTCTCCGAACAGTCGTTAATCATTCTCTCCGAGCTGAGGTTTGTGCCTTGTTATTACATTCCAAGCTGTGATTCATACTTTGGTGTGTATCCCACAGTGCCATCATGAGTGTGCTGCCCCCTGTCCGGAAGGACCGCATCATCGCTCAGCTCCCTAAGGTATACCCATTACTTCATTCACTAAGATTTCTGACTAAAGATTGATTCCTGTTGGTGTTTTTCAGTGTACTGTCATATTTTGTTATGCATGGTATAGAACACCTAATGTGTCCCATATCCAAATAACAGGAAAACATTCATTTCAGGCCTTGAAAACTGAAAACTGTTGTTGAGACATTAGGTGGCCATTGCTGGTCTTTGCTGTTCCAAATGAAATTATTTAGGACGTGCATTAATATCAGTGTAGACCTGTGAAGAGATGAGTTTGTTGTCTATCAGTTTTTCTTTTGGCGCATTTTCCTTATGCCATGTGCACTCTGTGATACTTCTTCTGTTTTTTATGTTAATGTAAATAACCATTTATGTTCATTTCACTTTAGTTCTTCAACAAAGGTGCTGCTTTACACACAAAGGATGAATTTAACAGCAAAGTGAAAACAGCCTGCCAGGAACAGAGGACTGGGACAGTGGGGTGAGATTAGGACTTTGACACCTACAGTAGTGTTTCTTAGTCCCAATTCTGGGGGCAGTGTGTAGTCATCCATCCATCCATCCATCCATCCAGTTATTTACTTGTGACACCTGGGGGTATACCACAAAGCAGGATTTCTCAGTAAGCAGGATAACGTGGGCAAATGTTGATCATTGTCCAATAGGAATGTTCCTATCCAATAGGAATATTTTCCTATTAGACAAGTTTGATTTTTTTTCTAACTTCATGCTAACCAAGAAATCCTGCTTTGTGAAATGGCCCCCTGGTCCAACTGGACGCACCGAGATGAGTCGAAGCAGATATTCAATATTTTTCATGTACGTTTCTGCCGATGCCCGTACATAAACGTTTATAAATTGTAGAAACTGGGGCATAATAATAATAATAATAATAATAATAATAATAATAATATTCATAATAAGTTTAATTTATATAGCGTCCTAAACCCAAGGTCACACATGCAAACATAAACAAACAATAGTTCCTCCATTTGTTTTCTTAGTCTAAAGAAGGTAGCATTTCAGAGAAAGGTAAAAAAAAAAAACTTTCTAAAAGGGCTATAAAGGCTGTAGCGTTAATTAAATGCAGACATTTGACTTGAGTGGCCCAGTGTCTCAAATTGTGTAAGTTCTATCAAGTAATTCTTCATATGATTCTGATATCATTGTGCCTCACTAATTATTATTAAGCCTCAATGAGTTGACTAGGGGCGGCACGGTGGCGCAGTGGGTAGCGCTGTCGCCTCACAGCAAGAATGGCCTGGGTTCGATTCCCGGCCGGGTGACCAGGGTCATTTCTGTGTGGAGTTTGCATGTTCTCCCCGTGTCTGCGTGGGTTTCCTCCGGGTACTCCGGTTTCCTCCCACAGTCCAAAAACATGCAGTCAGGCTGATTGGACATGCTAAATTGCCCCTAGGTGTGACTGTGTATGTCTGTCTGTCTGCCCTGCGATGGACTGGCGACCTGTCCAGGGTGTATCCTGCCTTCCGCCCAATGACAGCTGGGATAGGCTCCGGCACCCCACCGCGACCCAGAAGGATAAGCGGTTTAGATGATGGATGGATGGAGTTGACTAGGGCTATAACGTACACAGTTTTTCAGGTACCATAAGACTTTCAATTCTGAGGTCCTCAATTCTAAGATTAGATTCAGTTTATGATAATAAAATTGGCCCCAGAAGTCACAACCCTTATAATGTATAAAAGCCCACTTTTAAGAGCATGGAGTGTGCTAACATAGGCCCCTCATCCACCCCACTCACTTTACTCAGAGAGGATGTTTTGATTATGCTGGTTCACCAAAAGGCAGAAAATGAGTGACTATCAGGAGAAATAGAGGGGTACAGCAACACAGTTTTAATTTTCAATAATTTCAGTAATCTATTCTTAAGTTATTTAAGTAATTTCTTTCAAATTACTGTATTGAAACCACTGACAACCACTGACTTAGAATTCTGAATAGCGAGGGGCTTGATCTCTCTCTCTCTCTCTCTCTCTCTCTCTCTCTTTTGTTTGTCCAGTAGGTTTAAAATCTCTAAGGTTATTGTGGTTGGGGACCTGGCAGTGGGAAAAACATGTCTGATTAATAGGTAAGCAGTTTGAAGGAATCGAGACTTCACTCATTAATGTTTACTGAGACTCTGAGTGCTGAGCTAGCATGATTTTCATCTGAATGGTTTTGGCCTGATTTGTTAGTGTTCTAACTATGTTTTTGCTTTGTGCTAGGTTTTGTAAAGATGTGTTTGACAAAAATTACAAAGCAACCATCGGCGTGGACTTTGAGATGGAGAGGTTTGAAGTGCTTGGAGTTCCTTTCAGCCTGCAACTGTAAGTATTAACAAATGTGTGGCACATTTCTAGATCTGGAGCAGTTGAACGAGTACTGGACCAAGACTGTTCATTCGTTCTGTAGGTGGGACACTGCGGGTCAAGAGAGGTTCAAGTGCATTGCTTCCACATACTACAGAGGAGCTCAAGGTTAGTATGTGTGTCCTAGAAAAGTGGAAGAGTTGTAGGCAAATTGCTTTTCCCAGATTCAGTGGCAAACAATGACTCTTAGAGGTAGGCCTTCAATGCAGGCCATAAATGAATATGAAAACTCATCTCTACAGTAATGCTGACTTCTGCTGATGGATTCTAGTAGTTTTTAGCACTCACCTCACAGAGATTTGCATCAACATTTTTTTGCACTTCTAGATTAAACACAAAAATAGGAAGCTTCTAAAAGACGTTACATGTTTAGCTTGAAGCTTGTGACAGATATATTGGCATATTTTACCTTGTAGAAGTTTCACAATGACTCTTACAGTAGAGAGGCTGGTACAGAGCTGCCGCTGCAGTTTTAGATTTCTAACAACCCACTGATTAGGCTGCCGCTTGTATTCACAGTCAGTGACGTATCTGGGACTTTCAGAAGGCCTAGAGCACATGTGTCAGGCTCCAGTCCTCGCGGACCAAAACACTGCAGACTTCAGCTCACTGCCTCATTAAACACACCTGATTCAGCTCATCAGCTAATTAATGCAAGGCCTTCATTTCAAGGCCTTTTTTCACAAAATTGGTCACCATCCTTTAGAAATCAAAACATGATTGGTTGATTTTTCTGTCACTTCATAATTATGCAAATTTTTAATTTAACATTATGGAAATTTATTTCAGCTCTAAAAGTTGAATAACCAGTAGCTCACTCAGCTATATCTACTTAGACTCCACAGAGAAAACATTTCTGGATTGCCCAATTTTCCACTGGGCTTTTCAAGTTTTTATTTATTTCCATCCTTGAAGGCCCTTAGGGTTCCCCTCTGTCCAGATTGATTGTACTGATATGTTTAAATAGTTTTAGAGTACATATGGAGGCTTAAAAGCCTTTACTATGGGTGTCAAACTGTGATGCAAAATATGAAAATGGCAGTTTGTTCCTCATCTTTTGTTAAATATCTAGGGTTTTTATCCAGAGTAAAAATATCTGATTATAGACTTAAATTCTTCCAGGAGGGGGTGCAGTTGTAGCCTGCATACTGAGGCATTATTACTAAAAGAAATGAAAGCAGTTATTAGTTCTTAACAGCTTTTATATATCACTGTAATATCTTTGTGATCCCTCAGTAACGATGTTTGTGCTTATTCTTTTTCAGCTGTAATAATTGTTTTTGATTTGAACGACGTGGCCTCATTGCAGCATACTAGGTAAATTATATAAATTAAGTTTGGAAACGGGTAAAGAAATTAACTTTAAAAAGTTACAGACAGAAACTGTTTAAATTTATTACAAGAATGCATTTCAACATTGACAACAGATTGTCATCTCATACAGGCAGTGGCTGGAGGACGCTATGAAAGAGAATGACCCCACCAGTGTTTTGCTCTTCTTAGTGGGCACAAAGAAGGACTTAAGTGTGAGTGCTATTATTTTATTTATTTTTTTTTACTGTATTAAAATCTACAAAAGCTGTTAAAAGTTTAACATCTCATATTGCACCGTTGTGCCTGTTCCACAGTCTCCTGCGCAGTATTCTCTCATTGAACAGGATGCTGTTAAACTGGCCACAGAGATCAATGCAGAGTACTGGGCTGTATCCTCTTTGTCTGGTGAGTCTTATTATATTTGCTAATAGAAATAAAACAATGGTACTGCAGACGTACACTGATAAGTCAAAACATTATGACACAGTCACAGATGAAGTTGATCATCACTGTTGATTAACTTGTAACAACAGTGCATGTCAAGGTCTGGGAGATATTAGATGGTAAGCCAACATCTCATAGTTGGGATGTTGGATGTGGGAGAAATGGGCAGGCATGAGGACCTGAGCAACTTTGACAAGGGCCAAATCATTGTGGCCTGGCGACTGGGTCAGCGCATCTCTGAAACAGAGTTGTGAGGTGCTCCCAGTTAGTTAATGCCGGACGTCCGGTTACGTGTGCACTGTTTCCCTGGGGAAATGATGGCACCTGGATGCACCATGGGAAGAAGTCAATGCTCTGTTGGGAAACTCCCAGCATCGAATTGACATATGACACAAGCCACCTACCAAAATAATGTCGTGGACCAGTTACACCCCTTCATGGCAGTGTTGTTCTTAAATAGCAGTGGCCTAATTCAGCAGATTAATGCACCTCTGCCACACTACACCCACTGTTAGGGAATGGTTTGAGGAACATGATAAAGAGTTCCCTACAAATGAGTGGCCTCCAAATTCCCCAGACCTCAGTCTGCTTGAGCATCTTGAGAAAATTGCTGGAACAAGTCTGATTTGTGGTGGCTCCACAAATCTTGGACTTACAGGACCTAAAGGTTCTGCTGCTAATGTCTTGATGCCAGATACCACAGGGCACCTTCCGAGATCTTGTAGAGTTTGTGCCTCAGCTGTTTTTGCGAAACACACTAACACATTAGTCATTATGTTTTGGCTCATCTGTGTTTTGTAATGCTAGTTCTGACTACTGACTTCAGTCACTTACAAGGGAGTTTATTTAGTGCTGGTATTTTTGCTTTTAACAAAAGAAAACACTTGCCCCTTACAGAATTATGCCTGTATGCTTTTTTTTTCTTTTCAGATGTAATAATAATAATAATAATAATAATAATAGATTTTTATCAGCAAAAAAATAGTAGCAGTCATCTTGAAGTCTGTATTTTGTTTGTATTGCTCAATTTCATAGCTAATAGTATGTCAAGTAAGTCTATTTGAGATTACCTAACAGTTGTTTGAGGCAAATGCATGGTAATGGATCGGTATACGCCTCCGTAACGTTAGCTACAGTCTGCAAGCTAAATCATCTACGGACATTTAAGGGGACATTTTGTATTCCTTTCATTTTTTGTTTAACTGTTCCTCTGATATGTTGGTAGGTTAATGAGATGTTGACTTCTTACAGGGGAAAACGTGAGAGAGTTTTTCTTCCGTGTGGCGTCACTAACGTTTGAAGCCAACGTGCTGGCAGAGCTGGAAAAAAGTGGCTCCAGGCGAATTGGAGAAGTTGTCAGTAAGTACTAGGAGATTAAGAGATTATTTATGAAAGAGTTTTCTGCATTTCATTCCAGTGGTTGTAGAGTTCTTTCACTAACATAAAGACAGTATGAGGTTTCATCAATCAGCCACATTGGAATTTATCCCATGCTTGTCAAATTGCTGGCATATTGATTTTCATCCCACTCTGTAAATTTGATGATGGGCTTGCATTGAGGAACTTTGAGATTTTGATGTTTGGGTCTGTACTGAGTAAAAAGTTTGGTTGTAAATGGTTACGATAAGGGGTGCATTCATATGGGGATTCTAAGATGATGCCAATATCCAGTATTTTTCATGCAAATATTTGCTGTCAACGCTGATGGTGATACACATTTGAAAATGTAGAAACTAGGACTAGATCCAACTTGATTAGCATTACAGGGAAATATAACATTTATTTCTATAAGGTTACAGTTACAATAAGCTTAAATAAAATGCAGACATTCAGCAGAGTAAATCAAAAAAATCAAATACTGGTTTGAAACATTGGTCAAATGTAATCACCCGTCTGATATTACGTAATTTTTTCAAACAGTTATCTGTCAATCCTGATATGATATTGTGCATCCATTGTGCGCACAACAGCCCTGTGCTTTCAGACTTTTCTAATTTGTTTTCTCAATATGCAATAATGTGCAAAGGCCTAAAAAATTTGAAAAACATTTTATTTGCTCAAAATAACACTAAATTAGAATAAATAAAAACAAAAATACCATTAATACAGTAATTGTTGATTGTATGTATGTCAAAGTGTCAAAGTCATTTCCAAACCTGTATATTTGTAGTCATCATCCAGTTCCTGGTTTGGGTAATCAGTGCTTCATTAAGTTAAATCAAGTGTGCTGGTGTTGGAATTTAACAAATCCATGCGGTGGTTGGCAGCATGCAAATCTAAAACCAAAACCTTACAGTAGCTCACAAGATATCAACTACTTTTTTACGTTTTTACAACATTACTGATTGTTTGCATCTATTCTAAACTTGCATGTAGAAATATAAAGCAGAAACACATATTGCCAGTACTACTGATCAAACTGTTGACATGACTGTTTAGGACTTCAGCGTTAGCTTTTTTCAGCAAATGCAGTTATTTGTTTCTTTAAAAAGTCTGCAAAAGTTGCGTACAACAAGGTCTCCTAATTTTCCATTTTTTTCATTGTCTTGTCACAGAAATCAACAGCAACACGAGTAACTTGTACGCAACTTCTAAGAAGAAACAGGCAAACTGTTGTCAGTAAAGGGAGCAGCTCTGAAAATGGGGAATTTTGCACTGAAAATTACGGTACCAAAGCAAAAAGTACAGAAAGTACAGGTTAACAGGGAGACTATAGAACTGGACTTTAAAAGACCACATCTACACATAAGGAATGCACAGTAAGCTTTGTGGTTAGCTTTCTGTGGAGAGGGTGGAACTGAAAGCTCTGCTGGAATTGAGAGAACATTCCTTAGTAGGATATCATGAGGTTTTCATTTTTGTGGTGGAATTTTTCCCCCTATGATTTCTATGCAAAAAAAATCTATCTTCTCTTCTGTGTTTCACTTTTATGAATGATTACGGTACTGCATTAATGGTATCCATGCCTGTTCTTTTTTAGATACTTCATTTTAGTTTACATGGAGCAGTATGTTAAGATCATGCATGGCCAAGTATTAAATTGCACAATGAAAGTGGCATTGCATTTTAATGTTTAATCAGAAATGCAGTTTCAAAAATGTATTTAAAATAGTACTAAATGCTGTAGTGTACAAATTTCAAAACAGTAAGTGTTTTTACTATTTTACACAATGCTGAACAATTTATAGATCTTTGTTAATGTGCATTTTGTTTAAATAAAACATTTTTATACTGTATACAAATTAGTAGGCCTCATTAAAGTCTCCTAAAGTCTTTCTGCTCACCTCTTGCTTGTCAAATTTGTAAATGTGCTGCATATATTAAAAATGATTAATTAGTTAATATAATTTACACATTAAGCATCATTCTGTATACTTCAGTTAATTTTTAAAATAGATTGATTAGTGGCTGCAAGCAGTTTCTGTAGAAGATGTAAGTCATATGCCAAATTTCAAATAATACTAGACTTAATTTTCTCCTTCTTAATTATTAAAAGGCAGTGACTGTTTTGATAAAGAACTGTTAAGAGATCATCCTTTAGCTCTGATGTAGCTGTCAGTAATAATGATAAATGACTATCACTCCAGTCCTGTGTGAACATCTTCAGACATACCAGAAGCATCACAGACAGTCAGGGCACTGACTGCAGATCTTGTTTTCTTCTCCCCAGTCACTGGATCCCTAGTTCAACTACTGAAGGTCTTGAAAGATTCCAGATATTTGCTGTCTATTTGAGACTGGAGCTCCTTAGGAACGCAGTGGGAGTACTTGTAGTTTTCCTTTATCCACTTTCCACCTTCACTGTTCTCAATGGCCACAGCTGCAACACCTACAAAGAGCAGTGTGCATCAGAGAGAGCTACCTTGATTAAATCCTACCAACCAATATTCATCACTCTTGCACCAGCTTAGCATATAGCTCTTGATTATGTGCACTTTGTTTCTAATATGTATTTTCATGTCACCTTTTTTGCAGTATTCCTTGTGTTCTATCAGTGGCATGCTTGTTTGGTTTGCTTCATGCTCACCCACAACAGTTGCTCCCTGTTTTTCTACCAGTTTGATGGCAGCTTTCATTGTTCCTCCAGTCTCAATCCACTGGTCGACTATTAGAACACGCAGACCTGAAACACACCATAGTTTCACACACTAGATAGTAAAGCAAAACAGCACTTAGCTAGGCTGCTGTAAAGCCCTGGTCCTGGAGGCCCACTACTCTGCACCTAATAGTGCAGGGGTCACCAATCTTATCCAAAAGAGCCGGAATGGCTGCCGGTTTTCATTTTAGCCGAGCAGGACCACACTCCACAAAACTACTGAACTGTTTGAAGGCTGAGACAAACTGAATAATCAAGTGGAATCAGGTCTGCTTCCACTGGACTGGATTGTGGCTGCGGCCCCACCAGCCCTTTGTGGACACGACTGGGTTGGCTGTAGTGCTTTCCATTTTAATACATCTAGTTCACCCCAGCAAGGGGCTGTTAAAGTACCCCTAAAGTCATAAATTAAAATACAGCAAATCATCTGTATTAAATAATAAATTGTTAGAAATTAGTATGTATTATTGTTGTGCCCAAGAAACTACAATAGCATCCCTAAACCTCAACACTCATTAAGAATGTGCAGATATATGAATATAGACAATTATGCAATTTGTAAACATCCCCTTGGTGCCCTGTTTCTAAAGCCCGCCATCTTCCTGCCATCTTTATCTGTGTTACCGACTGAACAGATCGAAAGCCAGAGCAGAAACGACTGTAATATTCAGAGCGATTCGGTCCTTATGACCCTACGGCACCAGTCACTTGGTTTTATTTACTCAAATTTGAATCTTTACCCTCTAAACTAGCTTGTTGCAGCATCAGTGAGCCAGAAATGCTGGGTGTTTAGCCTTCTCGCTAAGCTAACATTAGCTTCTGGTGCTGCAAGGTGCTTTGCCTGCTCAGATCTGAGTCTTATCTAAACTTGCATCACTGAGGCTTCAATGAGCCAAAATGAACCTGCGTGTTTGTGTATAAAGCTTAGGCCTTCTTGCTAAGCTAACACTAGCTTCTAGCGAATGTGGTCAAACGTGGAGCAAAGTACCTTAGGCTAACAGCTGCACACATGAATGCACAGGTTTACCCACCCTGATTCTAGTCTTCATTCACAGAACTTGCATCAGTGAGCCAAAATGAACCGCCTGGCACGTCCTCTCATTAGCATATTTTAGTAGATTGAACAGTGATGGATTCAAGTTTATTCGTGACTTAGAAAACTAAGCCACTACGTAGCGCCCAATGAAACACTTCTTTGGTTGTACTGAGAAAGTGTTCTCGATGAAAAATGTGAACTCTACACTATAGTTACACATTTGATACAAATCTGTCTACATTAAATCAGTCTGCATAACCATAATAAGAGAGGAGTGAACAATTTGAAAGGCACATTTTTGAGTGCAGGGGGTTCTGATTAGTTGGATCAGGTGTGTTGGGAGCAGGGCAAATACTAAAATGTGATGGACAGTGAAACTCCAGGGTTGGGAAACACTATTGTAAAAAGGTACCCAAAAATCAGGTGTGCAAATCAAGGGTATCAACTCCAGACCTTGAGGGCCAGCGTCCAGCACAACTGCATGATTTCCCTGCTCAAACTCACCTAGTAAATACAGCAGTGAACGGATTAATTGAATCAGATGTCTCTGAGCAGCCAAACTGTGCGCATGATTGTACTTGAATGGCCCTGGCAAATGAATGCAATGACATCCTCCCCCAGGATAAATAAAAGAACTATGTCAGACGCTCCCTCCTGTGGATAAAGTTGGACACTGCAGCAGAAATGATGACGGAGGTTTAAAACAGAGAAAACATTAATGACTTCAGTGCTGGCCTGGAATATTTCAATTAAATAACAACTGTAGACTAAAACAACCATTCCTGTGGGCAAAAAACAGCAAGTACATGTTTTAGTTAACACCAGCTATAACACATTTGACTCTCAGCAAAGAGAGGGTCTATAAAAAAGAATCTATAACTTGTAACAATTATTTTAAGGGTGCAGTGTTTCCCAATCATGGCCTTCCAGTGCTTCATCGTGGCACATCACCTGCCCCATCAATTCAGCACGTTAATGAGCGACTCAAAAGTTAAAAATGGGTATGTTACAGCGATAGTGGGCAAAGAAATGTTGAATTTAAACAATTCTGTATACCCAAACATGAGCTAAGACATATTTGGTGTCTGAATTTTCCCTCTTCATTTTTGTGCTGGAGCAACGAGGACACTAAAGCTAGCAAATAATGGAAGCTTATACAGCACCAGTTCGCATCATGCCTGCCTATATCTTCACACATTTGCCTGAAACCAGTGTTTCTCAACCCTGGTCCTGGGGGCCCACTGCCCTCCACTTTTTAGTGTTTTCCCTGCTCCCAACACACCTGATCCAACTAATCAGCTCATTAACAGCCTGTTATTGGTTTGAAAGGGTGTGTTAAAGCAGGAAAATCACTAAAATGGGGAGGACAGTGGGCCTCCAGGACCAGGATTGAGAGACACTGAGTGTGTATACATGCACTCAATAATCCGATCATAATCGGATTTCTGCAGTTAACCAATTATTCAAATGTTCATACAAACACTATACTCCAATCTGAAATCCGATTAAGAAATCTGATAAAGAGAGCTGGATTTTAGCTCAGTAATCAGATTTATCAGGGCAGGTATACTCGTACTCCGATTTCTATCAGATTTCTCACTTTGCACATGCACAAGAACAGACAGTAGATGTCGCGAGATGGCAGCAAAAAACACTTTTGGAGAGGCGCTGAAACCAAATGAGTTATAAAGGATTTAAATATTCTTCATCTTCTAAATGATGTATGTTCATATTTTCAGGTAAAGTGGTGTGATGTTTACACGGCATGTTTTACATTACCTTCACGTCACGTCTTCTTCTGTGAGTTTATTGGCTGGTTGCAAAGTAGAAATCTGATTACTGTCTGACTCATGTAGACCCAGCGTGTCCCCATTATCTGATTACTCAAGAGCATGTAAACGTGTTGATCGGATTACACACTCACCGTCCTAAACCATCATAGTACTGTTGCTCCAGTGCAAAACTAATGAAACAAACTTCAGATACCAAACACTGGCTGAGCCACTATATTTGTGGTTTTGTAACTGTTGCTTTAATGCAAAAAAAGTTGACGTGCAGTACAGAGATGCTCCAGAACCAGAACTGCAGATAGCTTTACAAAACTGATCCGCAACAGACCAAGCATGTGACAAATTTGGCAAATAAGCCAACTAAAGTCTGGCTAGCAAATATAACAATAAACCAACTAAAATGTAGTTGGAAAATATGAGCCCAGCTAAACCTTAGCTTTGCAACACCAAGTCACATTTCTAACATGGATGAAAAAAACTGGTTCATTACTTAGGTTTAGTTAGTGTGAACTACAAGTACAGAAATGCTCTGTAGAACATCAGCTAAGTTTTACTGTACAGGTTAACATTACGTTCTCATTCATGGGCGAGGAAGACATTCATTACTGGTCACTAGCAAGTACAGTGAGCCATTTAGAGAGAACTGGTCCAACACTGCAGGAGGGTATGAGGTCATACCAGTGCTTTTCCACAGAAAACTGAACAAAGCAGTAAGAGTACACACTCCTGAGGACATTTTCTGATGTTTGCATTAGCGCTGGTAACTCCAGCAAACTGAAATATTAGTGCTGCACTTTGGAATTTAATGCAGATTGAAGTACCTGGTCTGAAGACATCTAGTCGCACTTCTATTAGCTTGTCTTTGCCAGAGTAGTCGCTGTAATCCTGTGTTCGGGTTTCCACACAGAGGTTTCCTGCTTTTCGAATGGCTAAAAAGCCTTTTCCCAGAGTGATGGCCACAGCTGAACCTGAAAACACAAGGCAAGTCAACCTCTACTACAGGCATTTCGGCATTCATTGACAAAGGTTTTCCAAGAATTTCCCTCTGGGATTAATAAAGTGATCTATCTATCAATTCCTACCTTGGGGACCCCTTGTCCTTTCCCTAGGATACCTGATTCAGCTCATTAGCTAAATAACAAGCTCCACAGATGCTACATCAGATACGTAGAGTAGTAGGTGTGGAGGCCCCAGAACTGACTTCGGGAAGGTGGTCTTGTAGTCCACCTGAACTGCACAGTTTGGTGTTTTATCCTGCTGTAAACCACATGTTTCAGTGTTAAGGGACATTCTGGCCTAAAACATATTTAATACATTATTTGTCATGTACTCTGTAGCGCAGCGTTGCATCCCTCAGCCTCAGCGGTTTGACAGAATTTATTTTTTGTGTTTTTGTCCATCAGTGTTTTCTCACTACAATACCCATGCTGCACTGCACTGCAAGGCTAATAATTACAGATGTGACATTTGGCTACCTTGCAGTAACATTATCCATTTGGCTTCCATCTGCCTACAGCTAGAAAGGGGAAAAAAAAACTTTACAATTGTATCCAAACTAAAGTGCTTGTAATTTTTCAAAGGTTCCTCCCACCTTCAAAATACATCATCAGAAGGGGTTTTTAAACCAGTAAATCTCACTCTCTGAACTATTGCGGCATCACTGTAGGAGGTGAGTAGGCATGTTTTCAGCAGATGTAGCAATGGTTACATTTTTCATTTTGGCCAGGTCTTGATAATTAGCTCATAATCAGACTCCGGGGCAGGGAAAACACAAAACTGTGCAGATGGCCTGCAGTTTGACAGTATGAAAATAAAACATTGCAAAATGTAATTGATATATTCCATTATCTAATCTGAGTGCAGCAATATACATCCAAACAGGTTAGCTCCACTGTTCAGGTTCTCTCAACACTGTAACATTAATATGCTCTCCTAGTCTATATATAGTGCCTTGCCCCAAGGTTTATATTTACTCCTCTAACAACAGGTGGACTGAATTAAAAATAACAGTCCCTCCTGCCAGGAGGCACGTGGCCCGCACTCTTCAGCAGCAAAATGAAGAAACGTACCCAGGATGAAGCCCATTGCATCTATTCCAGCCACCAGGTCGATGGAGTCGTTCTGGAATGGTTTGAGAAGGTCCTTCACGCAGTCTGACAGGGCCTGAGGGGTTGAGAGGTGACGAAAGACAAGGATCATGACGGTGCAGAGTGCAGAGTGCAAGCGCAGGGCTGAAAAATTTGTCAGTTACCAGGATCCAAGTAGTGGCCACTCATTATTTTTATTTATACGGCATGTCACCAGCAGGGCTCTGTAAAATTACAATTAAATAATGCTATTTTCAAATCACAGGCGCTTCATTTTTTGAATCATAGCCTACATTGTCAAAAACGTCTTTACAGAATTTGACCTAATAACATCTTGTGAGCTGCCTGTGGATGAGTTAGACCAATCAGAGGCAACCAAGCCTCCACGTGCTGTGACAGCACAACCACCACTAACCACAGCTTGTTGTTGTTGTGCGCCAGACAGCACTACATTCAGGGTTCAAGCTAATGGCAGAAAAAGTGCATATTTTCTTGATAAAAACAAGCCTGAACCTTAATTTAAAGAAAACAATCGCAATTTAAATCGCACTTGCAATATTAGTAAGAAGAAGTTCAGCCCCAACTGAGAGGGGAACTTTAAACACAGAGTGAACGGTCAGTAGTGAATGGCCAGTGTCAGTACAGAACATATTCCATACCTGGGAGTTGCAGTAAAGTCTGGATGGGTCAAGCCACGCAAAACTTGGTCCCTTTGTGTTTGGTGCCATGAGTGACAAATACCAGCCCTCTCCTCCGTTTGCGGGGACAGTTAAGGCGTCCATTCTGAATCGATTAGCTTTCCTTCTGTTATTCTTCGCCACAGAAACTTCGCCTGTGGGGAAAAAACTCTCTGCAGGAACCTCCCGTTAGCAGAGACAGCGAGGGGGCGTGGCCTCAGCGAGGCACTAAAACAGGGACACGTTTCTCGGTGTCGCTGTCAGGGAGTATTATAAGTGAAGTTTTCTGGGGTTAATATTTAATAGTGTGGAGAAATCAAAGTCGAGCTCAGCCAGAGGTTATGCCCAGTTTGGGCCAATAGGTGGCGCCTCAGTGACGCGCTGCGAGCGGAGAGGCAGCAAACAGGTCGTTGAGTCTTCTCAAGAATTAGCATCGCCAGCAGGACATAAACATACTTATTCTGACTTTTCGGAATGGCTTACAGCCTAAACTGTGCAGATGAAGATGAAGACAACTCCAAACTGCACTTTAAAACAGCAGTAGTTGTTTATTAACCCTAAGGTTAAACTGCACCCAACCGGTGACTGTTTATGTAGGACGCAGCTGTGTCAGTGTTTTGGAGTCAAAGTTAGCTGTGTTCACTCAGCAGGATCTGTGGACAAAAGACCTTCTGGTTTGTGAAAAGACGAAAAGAAGAACTTTACATCATAATAATAAAACAAAAAAGCCTTTTTTTAACACAAAGCATGTACAGTGGTTTACATTACTATATCTAAAATGAGCAAATGGCAACTTCCATGAACAGAGTTCAGTTTATGTCCCATTACCTTTCAAAAGGTAATCCAGTGATTGTTGTTGGTGCTGTTGAAGGGATCTGGACTTTAGCTTCAAGTATAATTGTTAAAATTAGCATTTAAATGATAACAAGAAAAACATAAAATGTCTGTGTCCACTCTTAATATGGTGATTTCATGCTGTCCCACCTGACATTCAACTTCTCTATGAAATATATTCATTAGAACCTTCTTGTAGTGCCATCATTACAATGTTATTTGGTAACATTATAAATTTACTTGGTAATAAACCAATTTATTATTTATTTTTTCACTATTAATTTATTTAATGAAAAAAAAAGTAACAGGCCATATATTATGATCTTCATTCATAATTCATCGTCTTGTTTTCTGCACGCAATTATTATTGTTCTATTTTGCATATGCATTGGTAAAGATTGACCATTCAACTCTGTCAATTCAATTTATGAATTATCAAATGATTATAATGAATGAACAAGCTTTTAAATGCTATTTATACATCTGCCTGAAACATGGTAACAGTGTTGCAAAAAAAGACTGTACATTTCAGAAAAAAACAGCTCATGTAGTATCTGATTTGACATGCTGAGGTGGAAAAATAACATTCTCTGTGGGTTAAGTGCTTACTTTGATTAATATTTTGTCAAAAAAAAAAGAATTTTTTAAGAGTAATAACAAGGATAATGTCAGATTGAAAAGAGGGCAATAAGACTCAAGTGCTCTCATCAGTTCAGACAGCTCTGATCTGCTCTCTAAATAAAATTTTTTTTTGTTTTTTGTTTTGTTTTGTTTTTTTTGATGGGAAAAGTACAACATTTGGTGACCTTCTCTTCAAAGCAGAGTTACCAGGATCCCAGCTAAGGAGGTGGAAACATCACATGTTCATGAATCTCCATGAGAGCTGTTCAAGTGGGGTTATCACAGGCAAACCTCTGCTGTCCAAAAGAAACACTGTTCTAGATCATTCCACAGTTTTCAGAAACTTTTTTTCTGATTATTGTTTGCAGTAAACAAAGGAAATGTTCATTTTTTTTGTTTGATGATGACCATATATATGTTCATTTTTCATGCGGATTTCCTCTGCCTAATTCCAAATGTCCAGATTACGGGACATTGATATCCATTGAAATTACTAAAAAAAACAGTACTACCGCTACGTTTAAGATCATCTGCCACTCTTAAATAGACATAAGATTCTGCTTTTAAAAAAATATATAAGAACCTATAATGATTGTGTTATGTAATGCATAAGTCTATTATACTAAGCAAAACAATTATATATAAGTATATATAAATTATATATAACTGAGTCCAAAAGTCCAGATTACTGGACATTGAACTTTATCTCAAATTTTTTACATGTACCAACAAATACCTACTACTACATTGTTTACCTTTCACAAGAGGGACCTTCTAGAAGGACATACGTACAAAAAAACATTTTGAAATAAATACAGGTCATTTAAAACAGTGTTCCATTTGGTCTTGAAGTGTCTGTCTCACCAGCTGTCATGTTTGTTTTTGTTAATGACAAGATAAAAATACAAACTTTCTAATAAACAACCAATCAGTATTAAGACTGAGTTCTGTAGAAACACTTAAAGTGAGTGTGGTGATGAACCTACTTCTATAGAGTTGGACTACCTTGGAAAGTAAAGTTTCCAGTAAAGTGGAATGAGGAGGTTAAAATGACAAACAAACATGAAATCAATTTTTCATTAAAATCCAGAGCAGCAGGTTGGCTCTTCGTGCAGTGAGGTTAGTGCATTTTACTGCAGGAAAATGGAATTATGGGAGGCCAGATTCCACCATAAGACCAACTATAGTGAATATCAGGCTTGACTATGAATAAAAGTGGATTGTGTTCACACTAATGCTACACTGTATCACAGTCTCTGAGCTTGCTGAAGGTTTTCCCCTGGTGATACTCGATGATATGAAAAACAATGTAAGTGGTTAATTATACCACTCTTAAAGGGTACTTGATAGAAGATAGAACCATCAACACTTAAATGATTCTTTGCATGGTGAAATGCTTCTTCAGATTGATGGAGAATGTGCTGTATATGGTTCTATATAAAGCCCTTTTGAAAACGGGTCTTTAACAACACCAAAAAGGGTTCTGCCATTGTTACAAGCTTGACATTGTGTCAGTAGCGAAACCCTTTTTGGTGCTACCTAGAACCATATACAACACATTCTCCATCAATCTGCAGAACCATTTCACCATGCAGAGAACCACTTAAGCATGTTCATGGTTCTATGTAGAATTAATGTCTTTACTAAAGAACTTTTTTAAGTGTGTACTTTTCTACTCGTTTCACGTTGATGGAAAACTCAGAAACGGTTTTAGAAGTCGCCAAAAGTCAAAGATTAAAGGAAAACAGTAATTTTGTCTATTAAATGGAATGATGTGATGAATCGTGCTTAATATGACCAGGAATGTGGAATAGCAAGGTAAAACAAAAGGTCCATTTTCAGGTTGCTTTAAAATATATATACATACGTTCATTATGGTCTGTTTTGCTAACAGAGACCAGGATTGATTGGTCTGAACAAATGTGTGTTCTTTGAGGGTTTGATGTTTTTATCTACTGCCTGTCACTGATTTGTTATTTAATGTTTAAAATGTCTCCTCTTCTTTTTGATGTGCTACAGGGCCAGGAGCTAAGTGGAAGACCGTGTTGATAGTGAGTTAGTGGACTTATAGATTATAGATTTAAGTGACAAAATGCAGTGTCATTGATGTTAATCTGTATATATAACAACATCCTCCATATTCAAATCCTCTATAGTCTTAAACATTGGATGATTCCAGTGGATGTTTCCATAGCAAAACCATAGGTGATCTGAACCTATTTAACCAAGCTGATTATATGTCAGTGTAATTCATGTATACCTGCTTGATTTACACCAGCCAAGTAGATGATGACGTTGATAGTTTGCTGTAGTGTCGTCTGTCGTCTTATAACTCTGGACCGGTAAACGTCTCCAATACAACTAATCGATCTCACTTCCTACACCTGAGCACATACAGGATCTGAATGTGAATAAAGGCATTATGCACCTAAAGCGTCTACAGTTAAATGCAAAAGTTTGGGCGCCCCTGGTCAAATGACATTTTGTTGGTTTTCTAAGTGAAAATAAGTGAACACATCCTCTACAGAGAACACACTTCTGCACACTTTACTGCACATTTGCTGCATTTGACACACTTTGCATTTGACGGGGGGTATTAAAAAATGTGCATATGACTGTAAAGATACTATATACCAATAATACTCTCTTTTTATTAACTGTTACATTAAAGGGCCTGATCTTACATTTTCCTTATATTTTATTATTCCCTAAGGTCCACTTATCCTAAAAACAGTCATAACTCATTTAAATGAGCTCTGTTCTGATTGGCTGTCCTGTATTGTGCCTCATTCAAAAAGCAGTCTGAGTTGAAACACTCCTTATAACTTGAGTCTGAATGGGAGGGGCTAATTTGCTGCAGGCTGAATAGGTGGATATATGTAAAGGAGTTGGTTGCTGTAGCTAGTTTCCATAAAGGGACTGTATGAGTCAGGAAGAGAAACTTTATCCACATCAAACTCTTATATTTAAACAAAAAATAAAATTCATATTCGCACAATAAGAAATATAAAAAGTGTTTAGTGACTGCAATCTAAAAAAAATGTACAGTTTAACTGCTTTAATTTGACCTAAACAAAGCAAAGCAAAATAGTAGTTCAGATCCAAAGCAACATTTTTCATTAACCCATCAATCAAATCTCAAAAACCTTCAAATCAACTTCTGCACTGTTCCATTACAGTGTGGCCCCTTTAATTCCCTCCGGCAGTACCCACTTCTTCATACGTCCTGGGAAAATTTAAGCACGCTCCACCATGTTTCAGATTCTGGACCATAGTGTCCCCCTCCCTGTCTCTGGCTCCTTGGTAACTTGGACAACCTTTATCTACCACCCTGTTAAAAGAAACTATTCTGACTTCTCTTGTTCTTGCTAAGAAATGCAGAACTAGAAGAAGAAACTGAATGTCACTCCAACAACAGTTTAATCTTATTGTTGAATATACTCCAACAAACAAGCAATGTTATTACAATACTGTATTCTCTTTTGAATATCTCCATTTAGTTTCACATCAGACTATATTTCTTTCTTCTGTTTCTTTTAGTTTCGTTTGCCTTTTTTTGTACGTTAATTTAATTTATCTCAACTTTTGGGCATGCACCAATAAATACCTACTACTACATTTTACCTTCAACAAAAGAGGGACATTCTAGAAGGACATACATACAAAAACGTTTCTGAAATAAACACAAGATCATTCAGAAATGGTGTTTCATTTGGTCTTGAAGAGTCTATCTCACCAGCTGTCATGTTTGTTTTTGTTTATGAAGATATAAAAATACAAACTTTGTAATAATAGACCAGTCAATATTAAGACTGAGCTTGTAGAAACACATACAAGAGAGTGTGGTGATGTACCTACTTCTATAGAGCTAGAATACCTCGGATAGAAAAGTGTCCAGTATACTGAATGTTTCAAATGAGGGGGTTAAAATGACAAAATGAATCATTTTTTCACTAAAATCCAGAGCAGCAGGTTTGGCTCTTCATGCAATAAGGTTAGTGCATTTTACTGCAGGAATTTGGAATTAATGGGAGGCCAAATTCCACCATAAGACCAACTATAGTGAATATCAGGCTTGACTATGAATAAAAGTGGATTGTGTTCACCTTTTGAAGTAATTCTAAAACAGCTATCTATAGTCACATTCTCTGTAATGTGCATCAGAGCTTAAATGCAGTAATTCAGTAATTGTAAATAATAAAATATGGTGTTATTTCCAACCCATTCCCAAACCATAGTATTGCTTAAAGGGGAAGTCCACCACTTTTTCCAAAATGTCTGCATAATTAAACCACAGACATGTAAACAAAATGATTCAAAGTGGTTTGATATGTAATGTTCATAATAGTAAAATTGTGGTCTGAAAAAATAAGTTTTCTTTTATTGTGTCTTACAATGCTCTGAATGTGCACCTCCACCATAAATGGATTTAAAAAATACACTTTAGACCAAAAACAGAAAGCAAAACTTTCATAAAACAATGTCTCAGGCGTCAGCCAGTGAATTCATAACCTGTGTTAACCGGGAGGTTTTAGAGTTATTAAACTCTATGGACGCCTGGTTCCTATCACCACCACAGAACAATTCTGACTCAGTAAGTTTCTCTAGAACAGAGCTTTTCACACCAAACCACTCTGAATGACTTTGTTCACATCTTACTTACATAATTATGCAGAAAGTTTGAAATATTGGTGGAATTCTACTTTAAAGCCTTTGTTATCCGATTTAGATGCTCATTCGTCCATGGAAAGCAGAGTAAGTCCAGTCTCCACTGACCATTGCTCTATATAATCTGAGAAGTGCAGGCTGGCTCTACCATTCCCACTTACACTTGTATTGAGTTTCATGAAATACACAACAAACTGATTGAGATCTACTGCTGAGGGTTCAGCTGGTTCACCAAGAAATTCACACTGCACTTTTTGGAAAGGTTTCTCCACAGTGAGGCCTACATCAACCAAACACAGAGAAATCCACTTAGACTGCTTGAATGAAGGCGCTGGCAGGTATTTGGATTCTTATAAAGGTTTAAATGAGCATTAAATGACATTATAAATCGGGGAGGCTTTACCAACATTGTGGCATGTTGCGTCTGGTGATTTTACATCATTTGTTTCCGCCTCCCACAAAATCCCATTATTCCCACAATACGCATTACAGGAGCTCTTAGAAAACTGGCCAAAACAGTCCACCCAGACTCTATATTCTCCAGTTTCATTATGATATAATAACTGGACATGTTTCAGCCAGAGCTGCCTCAGAGAATAACCTTACTGCAGAAACTGTCATGTAACTTTACAGTTAAATCCCATCTTCAGTTTCATTTTTCCCCATATTCCTTTTGTAGGTGCTGTTAGGTAACAAATCAATATACAGCTAACAAATTAAATATAAGCTTTATTATCAGTATTTATACACATAGTGGTCACATACACCTATAAACATAATGATCAAAATGAATACACTGTAAAAATGATTTATATGTTTTAACTTAAAAAAGTTTGCAACCTGGTTGCCTTAAAATGTTGAGTTCCTTGAACTTCTAACAGACTGTTAACTGAAGCAGCCGGGTTGCTAACTTTAGGTTAAAGCATTTTTGAATATATTCAAATATATTTGAATAAATATTGAATATTTTCTATATAGTGTAGGCTTGAGTAGAAATATCCATGTTTTGTTGATTTGATAACAATCTTTCAAAAGCATCACTAATGAATGGGCTGAAAATCCATGAATGCTCAAGTCAGGATGGGCTTCACATCTCAATACAGTCAAAGCACAGAAAACTGAGCTGTCTAAAGAACCCCACTATTACAATGATGGTTCTTTAGTAAAGGGAATGGTTCTATTTAGAGCCATGAGTCCTATACAGAACCATTTTATGCTTTCAATGGTTCTTTGCATGGTGAAATGGTTTCCAGACTGATGGAGAATGTGTTGTATATGGTTCTATATGGAATCTGTTTGAAAATGGTTCTATATACACTCTTAAAAAAGGCAGTTCTTTCTATGTTTAGTAAAGACAGAGGTGCTATATAGAACCATAAACACTCAAAGAACCATTTGCATGCTTCAAGAGTTCTTGGCATGGTGAAATGCAAGGATGTGCTGTATATGGTTCTATATAGCACCAAAAAGGGATCTGTTGTAGTTATGATGTCAAGTTTGTAACAACAGCAGAACTCTTTTTGATGCTATATAGAACCATTTTTTTTAAAAAGGGTCTATATAGAACTACATACCACACATGCTCCATCAGTCTGAAGAACCATTTCACCATGCAAAGAACCACTTAAGCATGAAATGGTTTTATATATATATATATATATATATATATATATATATATATATATATATATATATAACTTTATATATAGATACGTAAAACATTAACTTTACAAAAGATCTCTTGAAGAATCAGCTTTTGAACCAACTTGAAGCACAACAATCTTGAACAGTGCACACAATAGGGGTGACTGGTCCAGCATCTCTGACCGTGTCTCGTCTTTTAACGTTAAAAGCGACACTTTTTTTTTGAGAACTCGAGCAGGGGCTGAGGAAGGAGGTGGCCTTGCTGGTTTACAAATAATCAATTGTCGCCTTTACGAGCAGCACAGTGAAAAGGAGCTGTGTTATTATGTTCCAAATGAGGTCAGTCTCCAGTCCTTTTGGGGAATGTGAAGGATGCCCAATCTCGTTGGGTCGCAAGAATCACCCCATCTCTTGTTCCTGTGGAAGCTCCGCCCTGCTTCGTCACTGGAGGAAATCTCGGTTTGTGGAGGCAAATTTATTTCCCGCCCGTTTTCCGGAACACCCCGCCTCCTGCGCGCTGATTGGGGTTCCGTCTCATGCCCTCCGATAAATATTCTGCGGACTGGCAGCTTGAACGTGAACTGCCAGCCAATCCCAGCGCGTGGGGGCGTGGCTTGTCTGAATACGGGTGGGGAAACAAATACTCGTGGCGGAGCAGAGGTAACTTTCGGTCACAGCACAATGTCTACCTCCGTGTGTAGAAGCAGTGGGAACCACCATCACCACAGCACGAGTTCATTCATTCAGAATCCGCTCGTTTAAAGGGCGTCCTTCGTATTCAGGCGTAATCAGCCTACAGCACAGGATCCCAGGCTAAAGACTGGGGCTGCGTCCAAAACTGAGCACTACCACGCTAAACAGCAAGTCAACAACAGTACATCACCAATACGCGTCCACTCATTAGTGTAGTAGTGTGTGACTGTGGACGCAGCTTGGGTTAAAGCTCAGCAAATAAACGCTGTGAGGTGCTTTAACTTCTGACAGCTGCAAATACTGTGAAGTGTTGTACTGCAGGAAGCAGTTCCTGTTAAAATAGCGAGGTGTGCTGAGGCTACTGGAGTTCATTTGATGTGGGAAATGTTAATTAAGGGGGCAAACCCCTCCCATGATGGCAGCGCAGCTTATTAAAACCCGGGCAGTTGGAACCACCCGGCAGAAGGAGGGTGAGGTGTCGCCCCAGAACTTGCTGCTGCTGCTGCTGGAAGGGCCCACCTGGCGCGATGTGGTCAGTCTTCTTCCTTTTTCTGTCTTATCTGGACAGAGACTTTGTGAAGGGCGAGCTGGTGGGCCACCCACTAGACGCAGACAAAGAGAGCAACGTGGTGTTCCACGCGCTCGGCGACTCTCTGTGCGCGAGAAGCTCCACCATAGGAGAGTACAGCCTCCATCAGGTCTCTGATGGGGTCGAGGACGTGCGCTCCGTGCGCAGCCCGGCTGGTCAGCTGGTCCAGTGCTCAGTGACCGCCAACCTCACACAGGTCACATCCTTCATGCGCGCTTGTCGGCTGGGGCTGAGAGAGCAGAGGGTCGAGCCCGCCGGCTCAGCGCTGAAGTTGACTGATGTGGCCGAAGCCAGAGCGAACTGCCACCAGCTGAACTCAAAGGATGCAGCGAGGGTGTCCGCGCATGCGCAGAAGCAAGAGGAGCTCCAGCCCGGCGTTGATGAAGCAGGCGGAGAACAGAAGCTCCGGAGAAACAAGCGAGGCTTCACCTATCCCGGCACTCTGTGGTGTGGCGCTGGGAACATCGCGGATGACTACGACCAACTCGGTAAGGAGCTCCTCAGAAGCACGGCATTGCCTGTATTTGTTGAAGGGGAACTCCACCGAAGTTTCAAAATTAATGCATGATTAAGTGGACAAGTGTTGTGGTGTGGAATTCTCAGTTCTAGAGAAACGTACAGAGAATTGTTCACAGTGGTGGTGATAGGAACCAGACATCCACCTCTTAAGGATTCCTCAAGAAAAGCTATTACATGAAATGGTTATGAACACTCAGCCTGACTGACTTTGCAGTATTTAGTGTGACAAAGTTTTGGTCTAAAACGTATTCTTAACCAATGTATTCTAATCCACTCATGGTGGAGGGACATATAAAGGGTGTTCCAAGGCAAAATAGTCCCCAAAGAAAACTTTGGACAGTAAATAAAATAGCCATATTTGTGTTGTAGACATGGGGACTTCTGGTTCCTATCACCACTTTTGTAAAGATCTGTGTTGGTTAAGTTTCTCTGCAAATGAATTGTGTGACATCAAATCTCTATGCAAGACTTTGTTTATATCTTAACCACTGAATAATGGAGAACTTTTGAAAGATCAAAGGAATTTTCCTTTAAATTTTTACTGCAACGACTTCTATTCTATTTGAGTAGCTAATTTGTCCACCTCTCCTCTCCAGGGGAGTTTACTGAGACCGACAAGTGCTGTCGCACTCATGACCACTGTCCACATGTCATCCACGCCTTTTCTTCCAGCTACGGCTACACCAACTTCAAATGGCATTCAATTTCACACTGCGACTGCGACAATGCGTAAGTAACATGGTGCATGTATCTATAACTATACATATTCAGTGTGATTTACAGTTAATTTGATTAAGTACTTATGAATCTATACAGTAGTGTACAAAAGTCAGACCAACCTTCATTTATGCACTTTTGAGTCAAAATGGCCTTTGGGATTACTAGAATTTTGAGAAGCAATAAATGTAACCAACTTCTGAGACTGAACTTTGGAGGTATGGAAAAACATCCCTGCAGATTTCTTTGAAAAACTGAAAGCAAGTCTCACAAAAAAGAATGGAAACTGTAGTAAAGGCAAGGAGTGGACAGTCTAAATACTGAAAAAATTATTCTGTATTTTTTTTTCCCTGACACTAAAATTATAAATTAATTTATACTTATTGGCTGTTAATGAAGGGTGGTCTCAGCCTTTTGCACAGTACTGTATACCATTTAGTTATTCAGCTTTATTTTACATTTATTTTATAAATCAAAGTACTATACTTTTTGAATCTTTAAAGGTTTTAAAAAGAAAGTGCTCACTTCAGACATGTTGAGTCATTTTGAAATGAATAAGAGGAATCTTGCTGATGGCGTCTGAATCCTGCAGGCTGAAGCAGTGCCTGAGGGAGGTTAATGACACTTCTTCACGGGTGGTTGGCCAAGCTTTCTTCAACGTGATCGAAGTTCCCTGCTTTGAGTTCTCCTTTGAGGAGCAGTGTGTTGAGCGGCACTGGTATGGCGTGTAAGTATGAGGCCCTGTAAACTTTGCTTTTATATTACTGCTCATAATTCCACGAAAAAAAACACATAATTTGAGTCTTGCTTTCTTCTCCATTGTGAAGGTGTAAGAGATATGACAGAATGCCCGTCGCAGTGATCAGACAATCAATCCCCTATGACTTTGGAGGCATTGACGTCATTGATGTGCTGACCTTAGCTCCTCCCAAGAAGAAAGTATCCGAGCTGGACAAAGACGAGCAAGAGAAAACGCCAGGCTCTGAGAGCACCACCCAGTCAACCTTCACAGGATCTAAAGGCGCCACCCCGGAGGAGCCCTCGCTTACAAATGTGGTCACGGCTGCTGAAGACTTCATCAAAGTGCTCGCCACGGTGTCTACCTCACAAAGCTCCTCTGCCGACAGCAGCAAAGGAGAAGCGCAGACTTCGGAAAAGAAGAGGAAGAAAAATGCCGGCAAAAAGAAAAAAGATTCAAAGAAGAGAAGAGGGAAGGGTAAAGGGAAGAAGAGAAAGCAGAACGCAGAGAGGGTTTCAAAAACCGAGGAGGGAGTCGCTGGCGCTCCTTCTGCTAACAGAACAGAGGAGGTCATCAATAAGAACCATTTCGTAGAAGACCCTAGGGTCATCAAAAATAATGACAATTTCATGACCGGTGCGTTCGATTCTGTGGCTGACGGTGGGCATTCCAATAAGATGATGAGGGATGAGTATCAAAGGATGCCCAGTGAAAGTCAGATGAGCTCCACCACCACCACACCAAATGCAAAGCAAGAGGAAGAGATGCAAAAACCTCAAAAGCAAATCAAGAACCTGGATTCTGCACTGGCAGTTCACCCTACGACTGTTCCCAGTAAACCTAGAAGCGCTAGGCTAAGACAAAGGGCGGAAAGAAAAAGACATGGACATCTAACTCCGACTTCCCTCCCGTCAGAAGCAACCTTACACAATAGAATTGGAGATAAGTCTCCAGTGAGAGCCACTGAAAGCACCAGCCCAGCAGGTCAGACAACACAGAGTCCCATCAGTCCAGCAGGGGAGGAGGCGCCACGTAGCTTAGAGTACCAGGGTGAAAAGGGATCCGCATTTATTGCCACCACACAAAATACACCCATTGTTGGAACTAAAAGGTTGAGGTCAAGGCAAAGAGGGGGGAGGAAGAAAAGTAGGAAACTCAGTACTCCTTCTTCCCCCATTGAGAGAGAAGTTCCTCACGCTTTAAAAGCTGAAGGACCCTTATTCCTCGCGACTGATGTGATTCAGGAGCTGACTGTTGGCCCATCCCATGAACCACAGGGCGTTTCAGAAAGGCTGCGGCCTAACAGACTGGAGAACCCGGCAGAACATTCTGCAAGTTCACCCACGTCCGGTAAAGATCTACCTAAAAAGAGGCACCAAAGGTTAAAGGGCACTAGGGACAGAAGGAGACCTGCATTAGCAATTTCCGACCCATCCACCCAGGAAGACACGAGACTTGAAGACACGATGACCACCAGTGCCACAACAATTCGGGCCTTGACCGACATAGACTCACAGAGATTGCTTCAGACAAAGAATCCTGAGGCAAGCACTGGCCACTTTTTCCTTCCTATACAGACTAGCACTCCACCAACACTGCCCCTCAAGACCAACACGACCAAGGGCAGAAGATCAAAAGAGAGAGCTGACAAGAAAAGAAGAAAAAGCAAAGTTGCTGAAACCTAAGCTTAATATATTTGACTACGTAAAACATGTCAGTGGAATGGTAGCTTAGTATGTAGCCTGTATCATGATTTCTCTGAGAAGTTGGTACAATAATGACACAAATGTTTTTATGTATTCTGTTTCGTAAAATCCACTGATGGTAGAGAGTGAGATCACATGTATGAAGCATTCAGCATGTTATACACCATTATCACTTAATAAAATATGTTTAAAAGTCCTCTCTCAGGTTACTTTCAGTGTCTGTGGTTCCTATAAGGCAGGGGTGCCAAACTCCGGTCCTAGAGGGTTGGAGTCCAGCTCAGTTTGGAGGTTAAACACACCCACTAAACCACATGTGTCAGGCTCTAGTCTTCACGGGCCAAAACACTGCAGACTTCAGCAGACTGCCTCATTAAACACACCTGATTCAACTCATCAGCTAATTAGCAAGGCCTTCATGAACTGAATCCAGAGTGTTAGATGAGGGTAAATGGTCATCTCTGCAGCACTTTGGCCTGGAAGGTCCCCAGTTTGACATGCCTGCATTAATCCTTGCAACTAATAGATGAGTGTAATCAGTAGGTTAATCACAAAACTGCGTTGAGCACCGGCCCACCAGTACTGAAGTTGTGCACCCCTGCTGTAAGGTTTCATATGTTTCACACATAACAGAAGTATGTTATCACCTAATTCTTGCAATACTTGCCATATTGCATACATGTGTCTAAGCCACCTACAGTTGCATGCAAAAGTTTGGCCACCCTGGTCAAACTGGTCAAATTGCATGTTCAGTTCATTTTCTAAGTGAAACTGAGTTCAAACATCCTCTACAGAGAACACACTTTGCACATTTTGATGCATAATTACTGTTTATTGCTGAATTTAACATATCAGGAAAATGGCCTGTGCAAAATATTTTTTTTTTTTTCAGTATGTTAAACTCAGCAAAATTGTGCACTGAAATTTGCATTAGAATACAAATTTCATTGAAATATAATCAATATCATTGAAATATGTCATTTGACTGAGGGTGTTCAAACTTTTGCATATGATTGTTTCTGCAACACATTGGGTCTTCTTTCATTAATATAGCCTTTGTTCTAGCAGACTTTGGCCCTTCCAGTCCTTTGCCAGGGGACTTAGGGCATTGAGTGGAAAAGGGTCACATTCTTTGCGAGAGGATAATCTGGTTTTGGTGCCTCCTACTAACCCTACAATTTTCAATGAGCATCAGAACACTCGGCACAGCAGTTCAAATCTCCCATCAGCTGACCATCACATGTTCACGCTGAAAAAAAGTCACGTCTTCACGGAGCAGGACTTGGACTTATGCAGACTGCAGGATAGTATAAGACACAGGCCAGGTTGCAGTAGAAGGTACAGTTGCCTGGAGTAAGAGTAAGCCTAGTCCTGGACTAGGCAGCATACTGATTGGAGTTTTGCCATTGAAAGGAACATGTAGTCCAGGACTAGGTTTAATTCCGGTCTGGATAACACACCCTTAGTGTCTCTAAGCAATAGTTAGTCTGGGACTGTACACAGATGTGGCCACATGGGGATTTTCTGATTTGGGAACTATATGTTGGAAGTCAGGTACTTATCTTTAAGGAATCCAGATAATCAGATAATCAAAAAAGGGAAAAGAATCCTCTTAAATCCATATTAATTAATGTCCCGCAGCAGGGAGGACGGCTAAGAGGAAATACCAGTCATACGATTATTCAAATTATGGTCTGAGGGGAAAAGCCACACCCTCCTGTCCCAAACTCCTCCCACAGAGCCTTTGCTGTACTCAGCACTTTCCCACTGGGAGCTGTGCAACAATGTGCACTTTCATTCAGATGTTGGTAGGACAATGGGCCAGCTTTCAGAAGATCTTGGCGGTGTGAAATGATGTATACTGCAGTCTGGCATTCTACCAAAATAGAATCAGTTACAAAGACACTTTAGGGCTGACCAGACAGAGTTATGTGGTGAGAAAGCTCACTTAAATGAGGTTAAGAAGGTGGGCCACAGGCCAAATGAAATCTCAAGGACCCTGCTGGGCAGTTAAGCATGTTCAAAACCATGTTTTGGCCTCCTTAGCAAGGGGTCATTTAAGGACGACAAGACGGTGCTACTTTTAAAGATGTTCAAAATTACACAAGCCATGTAATGAAAGAACAAATGTGAGAATAGGAGGTGGCGATTTGTGTGTGCACCAGTTAGTGTTGCTGGTAGATTAGGAGCAAACCAAGCATGAACTGTAGACCTTTGCAAGATTCTGAACTTTAGTGGCCCTTTCTGACCCTCGCGTTTCCATCTGGCATGCAGCTACCATGAAACATTGAGCACTTCTTGTTTCCCCCACTGGCCTGGCACACATTCACAGTAGATTCACAAAAGAATTTGTTGTAAATACGTGGGGTGGACAAAATAACACAAATACCTAACACTGTCTTGAGTATTTGCTCATATACAGTGGTGTGCAAAAGACCATCATTCTAATATTTAATTTCCAGTCAAACAGCCATTGAGTACAAATTTTCAGGAGATATTTCTGAGACAAGATATAAAATAATCCACATGCATAAAGAATGGAAACGTTAAGGACTGTCCAAAACTGGAGTTCAAAAAATGATTAAAATTATGGAGAGAAAGGGGACTCCTAACAACATTCAAGACCTGGTAGACGACCAAAACTGTCACCATCATATAAACAGTACTTAAAGCTTTCATCTTTGAGAGAGAGGAGAAAATCAGGTTCCACTCCATAGCTTAATGTTAAAGAACTACATTGCTTGGTGGAAGAGACTACTGCTGTTATTATTTTTACCCAAAAAATGTTATTATGCACAAAGCATAGCTGTTACTGACGTGTTCACACATGCACAGAAAACTGTGACTCAGCGGTCCAAGACCACTGAAAATGCTGAAATGTCCCAAGCGTAAAAAAAAAACCTTAATATCAAGTATCTAAGAACCACAATCCTCCTTGGAATGTTGTCATACAAGTCAGGGCTGTGTGTGATGGGATACTAGATGATTTTTCATTAAAAAAGCCTGTTCTGTTGCACTCCAGTTCAGAGCTTAAGGGAATTCAACCGATATTTCTGCTTAATGAAATGTTGGAGATGTAAACAAAGTCATTTAAAGTAGTTTGATGTGAAATGCGTCATTCTAAAGAAACTTACCAAGCCAAAATTGTTCACCGTGGTTCTCAGCCTCTGTGGTCTCATGCTCTGTATGATTGGGTTTTCTCCCCTCTATGCACCTTGACCAGCACATGAGCTTATTAATTAGTTAATAGGTTGAATCAGGTGTGTTTGATGTGACAAAGCGCAAATAATGTGCATACTGTAGGCTTGTAACGGTACTCGACCAATGGCAGCATGCAGCCATGAGGATGTTGCCATGGTGACAGCATCACAAGTGAATGATAACCAGAGGAGAGTTTTAGCATTGTCAACTGTTTATTTACAGTGGAAAAAAAAATCAGTGTTCTACAATACTGGGAGATCCTGAAAAATTAGATGCTCCATGTGTCCATATCTCCCAAAAAAATAAGCACTGAAAATTGTTTTTGTGCCCGCCAAGATGTAAAATCTTAGATCTGGAGATAAAATAATAGATAAAATAAAATTAATTATCTTGTATCTGAAGTTATTTACTAGTTTATATCTTTGCATTCATAGTTTGATCTTGAATTGATGTCATGTCTTTTATGCCTCATTTAGTCAGGAAATCTTACAATTGAGTAATTTACTGGTAAAACAAGCTACATTAGACAGTCTTTTGTACCATTCTCAAGCTCAACTGCTTGATCTAAGAATCACACATAAAGTATATATTTAAAAAATATATATTACTGTTCAATGGCTATGGCCCAACATGCTTCACCTACCAGTAAATGAAAGGACACTTTGATTTTCACTGCTAAAGCTATCATAAAACATTCCAATCTACTTACTGTTTAATCAAATCACAACGATCAGCCTGACATACATCCTTAAAGACATGTTAGTGACTAATGACACAGTGAAAATCTGTAGGATCCTGCCTATGCAACTCGATCAGGACGTTACTCAGAAAACTGAGATGACCATATGTACGTGGTGGTGGTGTCACAGTTATTCTGGGAGAAACAGAAGCAGAGAGGTGATGGCACAGTGCAGCCTGGTAATCTGAGGAGAGTAATATCTGAGAGCTTTCAGCAATCTGCAATGCTCTGTGTATTACAGGAGTCATTTTGGGATTACTTCAGCTTACATGCTCTTACTGTGCAGTAACCAGTCAAGTGTAGCATTTGTCAGCATGATTTTCATGACTTTATTAAAGTTCATTGACTCGATTTTATGCTTTTTGCAGAAACGTGGTTAAATGAATGTAGCGCTGCAACCGTATTAATTAAGTCCACTCCACAAAACTAACTTTCTAAATGTCTCCCAGGCCGGCAAGAAAGGTGGAGGCAATGTGCAAGCAGTTGTCCTTTGGTGACTTCATATCCTCTGAGTATCTCTGTGCAGGTCTGAAAGGGGCACCAAGAATTTACAGATATGCTATCATTTATTTTCACTGATTTTGATCATTTTGTATAAATTTCAGATAAGAAACACCTCATTCATATCGGGCATTTTTCCCAGCACATTAAAAACTGCAGTTGTGAAGCGTCTCTTAAAAAAAAAAAACTAGAAGCAACTCTTTTAAATAATTACAGACTCATTTTAAATCTACTTTTCACCAAAAAATCATTGCAAAAATCATCTTCAAGCAACTGGGTTTTCAATTCTTGAACAGCTGTCTAGACAAATTTCAGTCAGTTGTTTATACTCTGGTAAAATATCTGTTCTACTACTGTGCGATCTCAGCGCTACTTTTGATACCACTGACTATAAAATTCTCATACATAGACTTGAAAACTGGGTTGGAGTTTAAGGAACTGTTCTAAACTGGTGAAGTTCATACCTGAAAGGAAGGAACTACTTTTTGAGGTAGAAAATAATGCTTCTGAGAGAGCGTCAGTGACCTGTGGTGTTCTCCCAAGGTTTGATTCTTGGGCCACTCTTATTTAATTTATACATGTTTACTCTTGGCCAAATGCTACAAGACTATGGGATGTCTTACCACAGCTACACAGTTGATACTCAGATTTACTTGGCCCTCTCCTCAAACAGCTATGGTCCCTTTGACTCACATTGTAAGTGCCTTGAGTGTATCACTAACTAAATGGGATAAAACTTTCTAAAGACTTGCAAACTA